GAGCCAGTGGTCCCGCTAAGGCCCAGCACACCTTTGAGTGGGGCGGCACCTCGTGGCCACTGCAGGTATCGCAGCTTCTCGCTCAGCCCTGCAAAGGCTCATTTTGGAGTGTCCTGGGGATCTGTCTGGACCTGCCCATTTTCTGAAGGCCTGAAAAGCCTCAAATACATATATCAGAAAGGCAAGATGCCATTAGCCCTGTGAAACGAACAAGCCCCAGAAGATTTGGGCAGAAAACACGGAATCGGGGATCAGGAAAAGTGACCAGGAAAGGTGACATTCAAGGGGAGTGGGGGGCGTGGAGAGGAGCTGAGAGGGGCAGCAGGGGTGACTGAGAGGGGCTGGTGTGACATAGAGGGAAGGGGACCCAGCTGGAAGGGCAGCAGGCGCAGCAGTCCTCGTCCCAGAGCTGGAATCTGTCACCCATAGGTACTGTGACCGGCAGGGGCTTGTGAGGGCTGTGCATGACAGCGCAGAGCAGCGCTCCCAGGGACGGTGACTACTTGCTTCTGGGACTCTGAGTCCTGGGCTGGAAGGGCTGGGCCCGGCTAGCTCCTCCCTTCCCTGAGGACCATGTGGCCCTGGAAGCAGCCACCTCAGCCAGCAGACCCCCTGGGACAGTGGAGGGCCATCATTCACGTGGAGGGCCGTCATTGCGGCCCGTCGTCCTCCACTGCCAGACCTGGGACTGGGCCTGCACAGGGACCCACCCTGGGGGGCTGGGAGGAGCTCAGCTGAGCCTCCTGGTGTTCTGCTGTGTGTGTGTCCGCGGGTCCCCTGCTGTCTTGGTTACTTTTCTTGTCACGGAGACAAAATATCTGACACCCAAAGTTAAAGGAGGAAAGGTTTATTTGGCTCACAGTTTGTAGAAGTTTCAGCCCATAGCACGGTCACGTTGAGGAGGGGCGTCGCAGAGGAGAAACAGTTCTTGGCAAGTAGGCAGGAGGCAGCAAAAGCAAGCGACCGGCAACAAGCGACAAGAGCAGCTTCCTTCTGTCCTTTTTCTATTCCATCTAGGCTACCTGCTTTCCATCCTTAGGGTGGGTAGCACTCACACCCAGAACTATGCCGAACCGATCAGTGGACTGATTAGTGATCACATGCCCTTAATCTCAGCATCACACACTCTAGATGCAGCCACCTCTGAAAAAGCCCCACCTAAGGCTGCATGAGGCACTTGGGGGACAGCTAGACCCAGCCATAACACCTGCTTCTGAGTCCAGGAGGTTTCCCAAGGTGGAGGGGTCTGGCCCAGATCCACCTCCCTCCCCTCTCCACCTCCCTCCTCCCTTTCCTCCCTCCCTGTCCATGATACAGGGCAAACAATATAACTTCCAACCTGCTAGATATCTGTGGGAAATGGTAGAATTCAGCTATCTAGTTGTAAGAATAGATCACAAGAAGTTTGTTAACTAAGAGAATTAAGTCGTTTCTGGGAAATTCCACAAGTCTGTTTGTTAAAAGAATGCCAGAAAACTTTAAGAGACCTTGTAAAAGTCTCACGGGAGAAAAACAGGTTTTCCTAGTTTTCTTATTTACCATTTTCCGGGATCAGAGGACTGCGACCCAATGACTCTACGGGTGGTAAGAGAGATATGACTCACTATGCACATGTGTGATGTTTATGGTGGGCCGGTGGGCTTGATTTTGGCTGAAATCCTCCTGCTCTCTTGATACTATCTGATAAGAAGAGGGCTGCGGTGTGCTCTTTGATGTACGGGATTGGTGAACGGAAACAGGGGATTTGTGAATTCACCTGTACCTTTTATGAGTCACTTAAAGTCACTGGTTATCACCAGAGGTGAAAATCAGAAAGACAATAGCCAGAATCACTAAGCCTTGCTTCTTCCCTTTGTGATGGTCAAATAGTGCCAGAGAATTAAACTGCTGTTCATCCCCCAGGCTCTTCCCTTTCTTTCTTTAAAAGTCAGTGCTTTCTGGGGTTCCAGGTCTCCTTCAAGAGAGACCTTTATTAAAAATAAAAACCGGGCCGGGAATTAGCTCAGTGGTTCCGGCGCCTGCCTCGCAAGCGTGAGGTCCTGAGTTTGATCCCCGGTACCAAATAAATAAATAAATAAATAAATCAGCAGATATCAGATACACCCAATTCGTGTACCCCAAAATCAAAGATTTCCAAAGAACAATGGAGGTTAAGAATAGGAAAAATTCTTTTTTTTTTTTTGGTACCGGGGATCGAACTCGGGTCCTTGTGCCTGTGCAGCAGTCGGCGAAACCACTGAGCTAAATCCCCAGCCCAAGAATAGGAAAAATTGAGCCGGGAATTTAGCTCGGTGGTATCACCCCTGCCTCACAAGCGCAAGGTCCTGAGTTCGATCCCCAAAAACTGCAAAAAAAAAAAAAAAGGAAAAATTTATTGGGAGAGATAGCTCCTGAGAGATGAGAGGGGACCTGAAAGTGAGTTACCACAGACCCCACTTCTCTAAGAATGTTTTATAGAGCAGTCACGAGGTGAGTACAACGTGGGTCAAAACTATGATCAACCAGTAAGATTACAAGGATAGCCGCTTAGGGAATATTGATCCAATGGGGAAGCGGGGCACATAGCAAGGGTATTGGGAAAGAACAAAGGCATTTTTGGGAAGGGACGGGTCTAGATGCCCTGGTCACCCAGCTGGGTGACTGATGTCTATCTGGACTTTATTGGACCAGGTGATACCGATTACAGTATAATCGCTCTTGCTTATCTCTCGGGCAGGCAAGTAGGCCTGGTCATTCTGTCTTTACCTGGAGGCCTGGCCTTCGACAGATGTGCCTCCAGCCACAGTTGAAATGTGTTCTCATCTTCAGCACTGACTCTCTCGAGGGCCCAGCCTTTTCTGACTGCCTAGAATATTTCTACCTAATGTACCTGTCTATAATATCCACACCTTTGTGAAGAGTTAGATCAGCAGTGTGGTCATTAGCCTGCTTGTCCACAAAGTCAGGAATGCCGTAGACTGTTACCCTGCCTGGGAGCAAGAGGATGTCATTCCTTCTCTGCCACCCCAGCAGGCCCATCCCGGCTCCCGTGTTGGCACTGTTCCCGTGCTGTGGTTTCCTGAGTGATCTTCATGGCTGAGGCTGCTGAGTGGCTGCCTCTTGTGGTGGCCGTCCGCCCCTGGCCAGGACTCCTTCCCTTCCGGTGGCTCTGGGCTGGGTCCGCACCCCATTGGCTGGTTCACAAGTGGTATGGATGCCAGGTGCTTCTGCAGCACACAAGGTCGCCTGCCTTGCATCTGCTGTGCATGGGCCCTGACCCGCTCCCACCCCAGAGACCTGGGTCATGAAAGTCCCCATCGGTCACCATGGTATCCAGGGGCCAGTGCAGGAGGGAAGGTCCAGGGTCCTGGGCCTCAGCTTTGGAAGATGCAGGTCTACTCTCCATGCCAAAGGTGCGGCCCACCACCTGGAGCTCACTGTCTCCTTGGGGCTTTGCTTATTTTTCACTTGGTTTAACTTCTTTGTTTATTGACTTACGGTACAGGGGATTGAACTCAGGACCTTCAGGCACAGTGCCACTGAGCTACATCCCCAGCCCTCTAGCTTTTTTCTTATTGATTTACAGGAGTTATTTATCTATTATGGTACTAATCAGTTATGTATTAGGTTTGCTTTTCATTTTATTAAAATGCCTCAATCATTAGAAGTTCTTAAATATTTTGTTTTTGTTTTTTGACACCGGGTCTCGTTAAGTAGCCCAGGCTTGCTTTGAACTCATGGCAATCCTCCTGCCTCAGCCTCCTGAATGCTGGGGTTACAGGGATGCACTGCCAGCCCGGCTCTAGTTCTTACTTTTAATATGGTTGAATTTTCGACCTTAATCATGAATATTTTCATGCTGTGTTACAAAAAAATCCTTCCCCGCTCCAAGACAGAAAGATGGCCACTTGGGCTTTTTTCTGTAAGTTTTAAACTTCTGTCCTGCCAGTCAGATTCTGAGTCCTCTACAGTGGTCCTGTGAGCCTTGGGGGGGGTGCGGTGGCGAGAGTGAGTCAGGGTCTCAAGTCAGGAACTCAGGGTCTCAAGTGGGGCCACCCAGGCAGCCGGACACATCACTCAGGTCCTTGGGAGCTGAGAGCTGGTGCTGTGGTCAGAGGTGAGGTGGGGCCAGCAGGCAGCAGCTGCTGTGGGCCTTGGTGTGGGAGGGACTTGGTGGCCAGGACTCGGTGGCCTCTGAGGGCCGTGACAGCTCAGCTCCAGCTCACAGAAGTGTCCTGCCCACCGCCTGAAGGAGCAGGGCAGGATTCTCCTCTGGAGCCTCTAGAAGGAACCAGAGAGGCTCATCTTGGGCTTCTGACCCCAGAAATGTCAGATACTGAGTTAGTGCCCTTCCTTCCTTCCTTCCTTCCTTCTTTGTTCCCTTTTCTTCTTTTCAGATGGGGGCGGGGGTCTCACTATGTTGCCCAGACTGGTTTCAGACTCCTGGGCTTAAGTGATCCTCCTGCCTCAGCCTCCCTGAGACAGACAGAAACACCCAACAATTCCATTTTTCCTGTGCAGGCTGGGGTGTGTGTATGTGTGTGTGTGTGGCTTGGCCAGTGGCTATCATGTCCCTCTCCGTCGCTTCTCTTTGCCATCCCTCACCCCTACCCCAATGGAGTGGGACAACTTGCTTCAATGTCCTCCTTGCTGTTGCTTTGTTGAAGACAGGAGGGGACACCGGGGATGCCCAAGACCAGGGAAGGAGGGAGCTGGGCCCATTGTCAACATCCCCACCCCCACAGCAGGCCTTCCAGAAGATTCCCCATGTTCAGCCTCGCCCTTCACTGGATCATTGCCATGACAGTTGAGGCTGTCCTGGAGTCCTGCACCAATCATGGGCCTGTGCTTGGACCAATCACAAGCCTGCTGCTGCTATATAAGCAGCACTGCACAAACACTTCTTGGGTTAGTCTAGGAGGGCTCCCTCCAGTGCACTGACCCCCTGCACTGCCGTCTTAACATAAAGACTTGCTTTGGTGGTCCTGTAAACTGGCTAGTGATTTATTTCTCAGGTAGTGTGGACTCCAGAAGTTCTGTAAATCTTCGTGGGATTCTTATGCTGAGCAGTGTGGACAGACCAGTTCAAAAGAAACAGCAACAAACACGAAGGGCTGTTAGCCCTGAAGAGCTCCAGAGACTGGTGGCCAACAATCAGCAGTAGTGTTGACCTATGGTGTCCAGCACAAGCTGGCATGAGATGGTGGCAGCAACAGAGATCTAGCACCAGTTGTGTCAATGGTTGGCATCCAGCATTTCTGGCGACATCTGGACTGCTAGCCAAGCTGTGCTTGGCTGATTCATGATTTCCATCTGAATTGAGCACAAGAACCCTAGCCTGATTGGCAACATCTGGAGTTGCTGGGCAGCCAAATGCTCCATTGCACCTGGCAAATGAGTGCTCTTAGTGATGATCGTATTTTGAAGATGCAGGACAGCCTCTGTGGAAGTAATTTCTCATGAAAAGTTGGGGTTGGGGTTGGGAGTGTCCGAATCAGAGCGGTTTGGGCTCTGAGGACCTGAGACCCAACTAACATGACTTAGTACAAAGGGATTTGTTTACTCAAGTAACAGGAAGTCCAGTCAGAGAGCAGCCTCCAGGTTTTCCAAGTGCAGAGGGTCAACAATGCCACCAAATATTCATCTTTCAGGTTACCAGTCCTCAGACCACCAGGCCTCACAGTCACAGGACGGCTACCTGAGCTCCAGACATCACAGACAGGTCCAACAGTGACCTTGAAACAGAAACATGGTCTCTTTGGAGAAGCAGACACAAGAAAGTCATGCCCAGAGACTCCTTGTGAGTCTCCACAGCCTCACTCCTAAAGCAACCCTGGAGTGGTTGTACCCTTTGAGCTAAGACCTCCCGGATGAACCCTGAACCCCAAGATGGGGCCTGTTAGTAAGGATGTGGGCTGGGGCTGGGCTACTGTGCTGCCACTCCATCCTGCAATGGCTGGGCTTGGAATGCCACTGTGTGGCATGTGGCCAGGGAATTCTGTTGCCATGGTGACCACAGACACTGGGTGTGCAGGGAGCGAGACTGCAGGTTGGGAGGGACCCGGCACATGGGGGAACGATGGCAAAGTTTGCGCCAAACACACCTTGTCCCTGAGGCTGGGGGCCGATCAGAAGAGGAGCCGGAGAATGGGGAGCAGCACGGCCAGCAGAACACTGAGGCCATGCCGGGGCCCAGGGACCCGGAGGAGGAGGCTTCCCTGTGGGAAGTGGCCGGGGAGTGGCACCTGGGGGCCCTGGATCCCAAGGAGGTGCTCGTGGAGCCTGAGCTGGCTCTGGACCAGGACTTGGAGGCGGACATTACCATGAGGTGGGCAGCAGGCCCAGGTCCAGTTTGGGTGGGCTGCTGACCTTCCTGTGGGACATAACACCTGACAGCCACAGGCTAAGGACGGAGAGGTTTCAGCCCGGAGTTGGCTGGCTTCAAGGCGCAGGGCCCGGGGACCTGGAGGAGGAGAGCTGCTCACGGCCAGGGGGACAGGAAGCAGAGAGAGAAGGGCCGTGTCCTCTTTCATGGAGGAAGATGTGGGGGCTCAGGCGGCTGGTGACCTGGCCACTGCCCCCGTCTCCCTCACAGCCGGCTGTCTGTCACCAAGAGGCGCCCCAACACCCCCACAGCCAGGGGCAGGAGGAGGCAGCGGCTGCAGGAGCTTGCAAAGCCCAAGACCGATTGGTGGGTGGTCAGGGACAGGTGAGCAGATGCCCTGCATCCTGCCCTGTTCCCCTCACCCTGCTCGAGCTGTCCCCATCTACGTCACCTTGGGGCAGGCACGAGGGGTCTGCGGGGGAGGTAAGAGGCCAGGGCCCCAAAGTGGGGACTGTAGGGGCCCCGGGTTGCCTCAGAAAGACAGTGAAGTGCCCATGGGGGAGCAGGGGGGACCCCGAGCCACAGGAAGGTGGGGGCCGTCTCCTTGCAGGCTGGGGTACTGCTGCAAGGGCTTCGTCTGGATCTTCTCACGCAGGAACGACTTGCCCTTCTGCCTCTATTGGTGAGTCGGGCGTCAGGGGGCCACGGCAGCTCCAGGGGGTGCTCTTGAGGGCCCAGTGCAGGACGGGGAAGGCTCCTGATGGGGGTCCCTCGCCCCAGCCTCGCCTGTCGCTGTGCACCCAGCTCACACTGGAGATGGCCTGGTCCCTCCCCTTTTTATGTGGTACTAGGGATGGAACCCAGGGCCTTCACACTGGCCCATATGCCAGCCCTTTTTAATTTTTATTTTGAGACAATGTTTCCCTAAGTGGCTAAGTGGCCCAGGCTGGGCTCCAGGAAATTGAGAGCCTCCTGCCTCAGCCTCCTAGAGTGCTGGGATGATGGATAGGCGTGTGCCACCTCACTCGCTCGCCAGCCTGGCGGTCTTAGCCATACCTGTTCTTTCCAGTGGTCCCCTCTGAACATCCACTTTGCTCCAGACAATGCACATTTCCCAGTGCCACCCGATGTCCTCCCCGCAGCTCCGCTCTCCCACGCTCTCTCTGGTCCTCTCTGGGTCACCCTGCCATCTGTGTCCCAGCCCGGGTTCCCTCTCAAAGCAGGGTGGGGCCAGCCTCTGTGTCCCTGGCCTGAGCTGCTGGCTGTGTTCCAGGCCTTCCGTGTACTGGACCAAGCGCTTTCTTGAGGATACCACCCTGAGTGTCACGGTGCCCGGTAGGTGAAGTGCTCCAGGGGTGGCCTCTACCTGGCCTGGGGCCTGGTCACACTCTCTGTGTCGACCATTGGGCTCCTGGGCCTGGGCACACAGAAGGGACAAACACTTCCCTTCTCCAAAGGGCCTGGTTCCCCCTGGAAGTCTGGGGCCCCTCTCGGGACAATCCCTGAGCAGCTGGAGCCCCTGGAGACAGGTCATGGGTGTGGGGTGCAGACTGACTCTGGGGAGTGTCACAGCCACAGGGTAGTTGGGATTGAGATTATACTGGATCATCATGGAGCTGGGGTCACTTCCGGTTGTTCAGGGTGTTCCCTAGCACGTGTGCCCCAGGCTGGCTTCACTGTTAGAGGTGGGCAACTCTGTGGTTTCCAGAGAGCTTATCTTGGCCCCTCGTCAGAACCCAGCTTTCCTTCCTCCCTCAGCCTTCAGGCTCCTTCTTTTAGGGATTTCTCCTCTACCTCGTTCGAGGTCCATGCTGACCTAGTCACCCTGAGTCCCAACCTGAACCCCAGCTCTGACCCTCCCGGGAGCCCTGAGCCACTGTCCCCAGATGGGGCAGAGAGGTCACCTCCCCCAAGGCAAATGTGCCCAGCTGCTCTGCCTGGGTGAGACTGAGCTCCTGCCCTGGCCAAGGTCAGCTCCGCCGTAGCAGAAGCGGGAGGGGCGGCGTCTCGGGTGACTGGGCCCCCTTTGCACAGCTGTGTCCCTCCGCTTGGAGGAGCTGGCGCGGCCCCGGAGGCTCTACCTGGAGTATTTCAACAGCTGCAGGTGAGGGCGAGGGGCTTGGTCAGCTCTGGGGGCGGGCGGGGAGCAGGCCTGCGTCCCCTGGAATCCCATCAGCTTCCCCTGTCCCAGGAACGGGTGCAGAGCAAAACCCTGGCATGCACAGGGCCTGCCGTTTCCCCACTCTCGGTTGGGCTGGCTCTCAACTGTGGCCACTCCAAGGGCCTCTCCCCTCTGGCCTGTCCCCCGGCCCACCCTGGAGTACTGCGTGTCTGGACGGCTGAAGGAGCTGGCCACCCCACGGGTTCGCAATAACATCTGGAGCATCAACATGTCCGAGGTAGGTGAAGCTCACCGCACACGAGGGGAGGGCTGCCCTTGGGGTCGGCAGGGGACAGGAGGTTGCAGGCTGGGCAGGAAACTGCTTTCTTCTCTTGTGGTCCTCAGACCTGGTTGCTATTGTCAGCCCAGACATCATGCTGCATGCTGAGCCAGGACTCTCACTGGGGTACGGCTCGGGGTCAGAGTGCTGGCACCATTTCTGGGACCCTCCCCTCTGTGCCAGGAGATGAGGTCTAAGCCTGGCTTCCTCCCCCCGCCCCCGCCTGCCCCCCTCTTCTTCCACAGGATCTCACTATGTAGTTCAGGCTGGCTTTGAACTTGCAGAGATCCTCCTGCCTCAGCTTCCTGAGTGCTGGGATGACAGGCATGCCCTACCATGCCCCGTTCACAGCCTGGCTCCTTTCACCCCACAGGGACACAGTTGTCCCCACCAATGGGACAAGCAGGCTCCACTAGGGGGGCAGGTGTCGGGCCCTTTCTGGTTCCGGCTTCTGCAGGTTCACACACAGGCTCTGAAAGGACATCAGCTCCCCTGCCTCTGTGGCATAACCCTGGGTGGGATTTCAGGGTCCCAGGTGCATCCCCACCTCCCCCGTAACCGGCTCTGAAGCCCCGCCCCCACCCGCCACATGCGTGATTAGCTGCTTCTGTTTCTGCTCAGTTGCAGTGCTGTGCACTGGTTCTCTACGTGGCTTTAGTTTGCACCTCCTGGTAGTACACCGAGACGTCTGTTCCTGCAGTCATATGCCAGACCCTGGTTTTTTTCATCTTTTTATTCATTTATTAATAACTTTTATTTTATCCTTTTCCCCTCAACATCCCCCATGTACAAAGCTTTGCTTCCATTTTTCCTTCTGTTTTCACTTTTTTCTTGTTCCTTTCTTCCTTCCTTTCTCCCTCCCTCCTTCCTTGTTCCCCTTTCCATTTGAACACTTTCTTCCCATTTCCCCACATGCATTATACATTTCAGTCCTTACTTCCACTTTCGGTTTCTCACATCAGAGAAACAATGCGGTTTTATTTATTTATTTTTGGTACTGGGCATCAAACTCTGGTCCTTGCACTTGTGGGGCAGGCAGTGGAACCACTGAGCTAAATCCCCGGTCCTTTAAAATTTTTAATTTGAGACAAGTTCTTGCTAAGTCTGTAAGTTGCCCAGGCTGGGCTGGGCTGGAATTTGCGATCCTCCTGCCTCAGGCTCTCAGAGCCCTGGGATGACAGGCGTGTGCCAAGTCCCCCAAACTGTGCTCCTCTAACAACAACAACAACAACAACAAGAAAAAAGGGGGCATGGTAGTCCATGAGGGTCTCTTTCCTCCCACCTTCCCACCAAGGCTCAATTATATCAGGCTTTATAAATTTTTGCCAAATGTGTAGGCATGGAGTGATATATTGTTATTTCATTTACATTTCTTTAGACATCAGAGAGGATTTTGACCATTGAAGGCTTTTCTCCTTTAGCATCAGCCTGGTTCCTTACTGAGACTTCTTGTTGTTGATTTGCAGGAGCTCTTTATGTATGATAGCTACAAATCCTTGCAAACTGACTTCTCAGTCTCTTTCATTTTATGGTGCTCATGAGCTCTTTCTCCTCCCGGGCCTGTGAGGACTTGGGAGCTGCTTTACTCCTTCCCCTCAAATCCTGTTTCAGGTGTCACGGGTGTCAAGGGCAGCCCAGATGGCCGTCCCCAGTTCACGGATCCTTCAGCTGGCCAAGCCCAGGGCCCCAGCCACGCTGTCGGCAGAGTGGGACCCTATGCCCAAACCCAAGCCCTATGTGTCAGACTACAGCCGCCTGCTCCAGCTGGCCTGTGAGTAGACCTCCAGGCCAGGGTCCTGCCCGCCGAGTCCTTGTGGGTGTGGGGTGGGGGGTCAGATGCCTTGGGTTTGAGACTCCTCCCACTGCCTCTCTCCCTGAAGTGCAGGGCACTTTCAAGTGCTGTGAACAGATGCCTGGCTCGCACAGGTCAAGGGACCCCACCCTGGGAGGGAAGCAGGGGGAGGGGTGTGAATGTGAGCACAGCACCTGCTGAGGTTCTCCTGCTGGGGACAGTGGGGCTGAGGAGGAAGCCAGGCAGTGGGCAGGAGCCGAGGGCCAGGCGAGGGGCGCGGTTATTTACCTGACTTGCTCTGTGTGTGAGACAGTGAAGGTAACTTGCCCGTGACAAGGCAGTTCTGTGCCTTGTGCAGGAGGGTTCAGAAAATACAGAAAGGAAAAAGGAAGAACATAACAGCAGCCAGGCGTGGTGGCACACGGCTGTCATCCTAGGACTCGGGAGGCTGAGGGAGGAGGATTGTTGCCAGTTCGAGGCCAGCTTCGGCTCCATGGCTCATGGCAGACAGAGGCTTGGTGGCTTCAGCGGGGTCCCCGATTTACCCCACCTCTGGCACGGGGAGTCTTTCTCCACAACCTCCACAGGACACGGCTGTCTGTCTGTTCATCGCCTGATGTCCATTTTGTGCCAGGCCCCAGACGTCGCAGGCCTTGAAAAGCCACCGTGTGTCCTGTGCTTTAGAGGTGACTGCCATCGAGGTGACTGGCTGTATAGGTTTGCTCTTCCCTGTCGCTGTCCCTCCTCCCATCTACTGGCTCCGGCTTAGGATTTGGAGCCACTCTTGGTGGGAGGTGGTTGGTCAACTTCCTCCCAGGCCGCGTCCTGGCTGTTAGATCCGCTGCTGGGCCTCTGTCCGTCCCTCACATGCTCCCTCCTACCCTGGGTGTCTGTTGAGTGTCACACACCTCCCACCTCTGTCTGCACACACGCATCGCATCTCGGAGGCACAGGGAGCTCACACGAGCACACAGATGTGTGTGGGCCAGGGTGGGTCACCCCACAGAGCACTGTGACCAGCGTTTCTGGGATGGAGCCAGGGCCCCTGCATGCTGGGTGGTGCCCCAGCCTGTGACCACCATGCTGTAGGCCGAGCTGTAGGTCGGGGCCACGCCTGTGGCATGTTCCTCTGTGTGGTCACATATGTGCTGTTTGGTCATCAACCCCTTGTGACTTCTCTGCCACAAGGATCAGGGGCGGCTTTTGTTCATCGGTGAGAGGCTCCAGCTCGAGGGGCTGGGAGAGGAGCCGTGGAGCCCCTCAGACCCAAGGCCCAAACCTCCAGATGAAAGGGAGATGCAGTGTTGTTGTCAGAGGCGCGTGGGGGGGGGTCACCTCTCCTCCCATCCCCCAGCAGCCCTGGATGGGAGGAGGGGCAGCCAGGAGGAGATGTCCTCTTGCTGGCCCTGCCCACAGTGGACTGGAGTGGGCTGGAAAGACAGACCATGTCCCTCCTCACCCTGACCACCGGGCTGGCTGCACCAGGAGATCTGAGTTTCCTTGTCGCCTGTTAGAGTGGATTCTCAGCTGTGTTCAAGATGGAATTGGTCCTGGGGTGGGCCTTTTCTGTGTGTGTGTGTGGTATTTTTATGACAGGGTCTCACTATGTGGTTCAGGGTGGCCTTGAACTTACTATGTAGCCCAGGCTGGCTTTGAACTCACGGCATTCCTCCTGCCTCTGAGCGCTGGGGTTATAGGTGTCCACAGCCATGCCTGGCCGTTGGCTGGTTCTTGAGCCTGCTGGTGACAGTCACCTTCTCTTCTGGACCCTAAAAGGAGGATCTCTGTCCCGGCCTCCATGGTGCCACCAACCTGCTGAGGGCTCTTGCTCAGCTCATACAGAAATCACAAATTGGCAAAGCGGAGCTCTTTTAGTGCTAATGGCTGCCGGCAGCTCTCAGCTCTTAGTGTTAGCTGCCCTCCTGTGCTCAGAGCCAGCTGCTACCCACAGCCTAGGACCCTCCCGGCCACCAGAGGCAGCAGCTGATGGCTCTGCCACATCACTCTTGGTCCCAGCCAGCTGCTGGCTGCTTTTGGTGCTGGCAACCTTGGTGTTACCAGCCTGTAGAGTCGCAGCTCAGTGTGCTCTGCCCGAGATAAAAATCATGGAGAGGAAAAAAAAATCGCACCTGGAAGAGGCTTTGTTAGAACTTAGGCTGGGGTGTCAGGGGCGACAGCACGTAGAAAGACCAGGTAAGGCGGGACGGGGCTGCTCATACGGAAGAAGGCAGTTGTGGGCCAGAGAGGGGACCCTCATGGACCTGACCGAGGAGGCCACAGCAGGTGGTGTCACTGGGGACCGGTCCATGCTTGAAGTCTGCTGTGGCCAGAGCAAGTGTTTCTCGGAGCGGCTATGGGGCGCCCGGCATAGCTGGACTGACGGCCTGGTTTTGGGTTCTCCCCAGAAAAATAAACTAAGACGTGCCTCTTAGGAAGTGTTGGGCCCTTCTCTCCTGTCTCACTTTAGGCCAGTGCCTGAGTCTTCCTTTCTGGGAATTGTGACCAGGTGAAATATTGTTTCTTTACACTTTACCCCTTTAAAGGGTGGTCTTTGGTGTTTTCAGAGTTGTGCAGCCATCATCACTGCCTAACTCCAGGTTACTTCATTACCCCAAAGTTAGCACCATCCCCATGAGGAGCCGCCTGTCCCCTTCCCAGCCCCAGCACTCACAAGTCCACTTCCTGTCTCTGGAGTCACCTGTCCTGGGTGTTTCCTGTCCACGGAGCCCATGCTGTGTGTCTTTCTGTATCTGAGCACAGGGTCCTCAACATCCCTCCAGGCCGTGGCAAACGTCACAGACTCGCTCCTTTTCCTGGCTGAGTAGTATTTCAGTATTTCAGATCGTGTTGTGTGTCTTCCTTCATCGACGGACAGGCCATTTAAATTTGGAGGCATGACCTAGAAAGCTGAATCCTGGTGCTGTCCCTCTTTCCTGCTCCTCTAGTGCCTAAGGCCCAGTCAGAAAAGTGTGTTCCTGACCGCAGTCCTCGCTGGGAGGTGCTGGACATCACCAAGAAGGCTGTGGCCAGTCCGAGGATTGTGTCCCTGGCCCAGCCCAGAGTCCGCAAGGGCCTCAGTGAGGGCTACAACCCCTCCTACATCTCCCCAGCCTCCCTGGTGGCTCGGGCATCCCCGCGTCTGTATGAGCTTGCCACCCCCAAAAGCATCACCAAGAAAGTGTGAGCGGGCACCTGGCCTGCCAGCATGCTTCCAGTAAACAACCAAGTGCATCTGCCTGTGTACGTGTTTGCTCTGGGCTCCGAGGCCGGGGAGGGCCATGCAGGGGGCTGTGGGCTGAGGCCAAAAATAATAATGTTGAATTTTCACATCCTACCTGTGGTCTGTGCAGCCCTCTTATTTGTGGGGTCACTGTCTTCAGTCCTGTCCAACACCTCTGAGGTCAGACTTCACTGCTTTGCCTCAAAATTTTCCCTCCCATGGGCCGAGGATTCAGTTCAGTGGCACTGCCACCTGCCTCACAAGCGCAAGGTCCTGAGTTTGATCCCTGTTACAGGAAAAAAAATTTTTTTTTTCTCTCCCAGCTGCCCCAAAGCACCTCAAACTCAGGATGGGTCTCCAGTAATCCTGCAGGTAGGCTGCAGATTCATTGACTCTCATGGCGACCAGCGAGCAGGAAGGTAGAGGGCGAGGTCCAAGAGGTTAGAGAAAGCCGTGGTCCCCAAGTTCAATGAGTTGAAATCCTCCTCTCCACCAAGCATAATGGTGCACATCTGTCATGCCAGCACTCAGGAGGCTGAGGCAGGAGGATCACTGTGAGTTTGAGGTCAGCCTAGGCTACATAGTAAGTTCAAGGCCAGCCTGAGCTACATATCCAGACCCTGTCTCAAAAAAACCACAAAAAAAAAAAAAAAAAGAAAGAAAAAGAAAGAAACAAATACTTCTCCCAGAAGTGGTAAAGAGGCAGGCCCTGCCAGGTGATGAGGCCACAGAGGTGAGCTCTTGTGATTGGCCAGCGTCCCCTCCTGCCAGGCAAGGAGACAGCGGAAGTCGGCAGCACTAACCACACTTGAGGAGGAACCTATCTGGGCCTTGGGCTTCCAGCTTCCAGGACCATGAGAAGCAGGTTCCCATTGATTGGAAACCACGTGGTCAATGGCTGTTTGTGACAGCTGCATACAGACCGAGACCGTCCCTGGGTTTGCTTCCTGTGGCTGCTGTACTGGATCCCCACAGACAGGAGAATTAAAACAATACGTGTTTTTACCTCAGTGGTTTCGGCATCTGCCGTGCAAGTGCAAGGTCCCGAGTTCGATTCCTCGTACTACTACTACTACTACTACTACTACTACTACTACTAATATGTGTTTGTTATCTCTCAGCCCTGGGGTCCGAGGTCAACTCTGGCATTGCTAGGCTGCAGTCCGGGCACAGCGGCAGGGCTGCACCTCCTAAGGATCCAGGGAGAACTAATGTCCTGGTCCTGGCTCCCAGAGGCACCTGCAGCCCTTAGCTTGTGGCCTCTTCATCTGCAGAGCTTGCAGAGTGGCATCTTCAGCCTCTCTCTGTCCGGAGGACCCTGGGGGACACTGGGCCCCGGGTGGTCAGGATGACCCCTCTCAGGGTCCTTCATGCGATCACAAGAAGAAAGCACTGTTGGCCATATCCACGTGTCATGGGGATTTGGACGCATACATCTTTGGAGGCTTTTGTTCAGCTGACCACAGTGGGAATGAGCTGTCCCTCGCTCCCTTCCTGGGACCCCAGACAAGGCCACCTATTCCACTGGCCCTGGCCACACCATTTGGGAGACAACCACCGTGTCATGATGGGGCGATGATGCATCCACAGGTCCTGTCTCCACAACCAGCCAAGCAACAGGTCCTGAGCTGTGAATCTGAGAACCCAAAGTGAGCACCAGGTTCTGAATTCATTGATTGAGCCCGGTGTGGTGGCGCACGCCTGTAATCCCAGCACTCAGGAGGTTGAGGCAGGAGGATCACTGCAAGTTTGAGGCTAGCCTGGGCTGCACAGCAAGATCCCGTCTCAAAACAAAACAGTAATTGGGAAAAAAAAAATCCTAAAATACAAGACTTTATTTTAGAGATTGAAAAGGCTCACTGGGTCCAGAGAAAATGACACCCAATGGGTGGCACTAAGGCAGTCCCTAAAAACCTTTTGGGTACCAGACATGAGACCAGGGAGCTCAGGGCGCGAAACAGTCGCCTTCCCTGGAGCGCCTGGCACTGCTCTGAGGCACTGCTTCCTCTGCGGAAGGAGCCACACATGGGCCCATCTTTCATCAGTGGATAAAGGTGGCAGACACATGTTTTTGAACATTCAAGAATCAAAGGAAACTTCCAAAGGAAACTGTTTGAGGATTATTTCCAACCAACTGAAAGCAAGTAGAGAAACCACAGGAAAAACAGATGATGAGCATCCGAATCCATTTAAGATGAGGATTAGCGTTAAATCAGATCCAAAAAGAATGGCTTCGAATGTAAAGGCAATAAATCTTGATGTTAGCAAAATAAAGAGCAAAATAAAGGATAGATAATAGGAAGTAGGGGGGATGATGTCTCTCAAATGGCAAGGAGATCAAGAGATGGAAGGAGGGGAGAGGGCAGGAGGAGAGGGGTGAGGAGGGATGAAGATGTGCTTTGCACACGCAGCAGCCCCACACAGGGAAGGTAAACAGCATGAGTTGCACACGTGGACTACTAAGAAGAAGCGGGTCAGAGAAATAAGAAGTGGTGGACATAAAATAACACAGTGTTACTTAAAAGTGATTGTTCCAGTAATAGAAGCAGAAATATATCTGAGACTCTGATGGTAAAGAAATAATGGGGTTAAACAGAATTCTATAATCCAGGGGAGAGGAGATGGAGCAAAGGGGACATACACTAATATCATTTTTAGTAACAGGGTTGATAGCCGGGGATTTAGCTCAGTGGTTCTGATGCCTGCCTTGTAAGCGCAAGGTCCTGAGTTTGATCCCCAGTACCAAAAAACAAAACAAAACCCCCCCCAAAAAAACCTCACAAAAAAACCCAAACAAACAAATAACAGGGCTGATAACTAAAACTAGAAATTCCATTTGACCCGGCTATTCTGCTCCTAGGTATCTTCCTGAAAGAGTTAAACACGCCATATTACGGTGATCCATGCATACCCATGTTAATAGCAGCACAGCTCATAATAGCTAAATCTCGGAGCAGCCTATATGTCCATCAATAGATGAATGGATAAAGAACATGTATTTACACACAATGGAGTACTACTTTGCCATAAAGAAGATAAATTGGAATCATTTGTAGGAAAATGGATCTATCTGGAGACCATAATGTGAAGCGAAGTAAATCAGAGACACACACTTGTATGACATGGTTTCTTTTATCTAAGAAACTGAAAGTATAAATAAAGAGCAAAGTAAAGGATAGATAATGGGAAGTTAGGGACATAAATCTTTCTCACATGGAAGGAAATCGAGAGATGGAGGGAAGGGGGTGGAAAAATAAGATGTGCTATGTGAAGTGGGACAGAAGAAATCAAATATAGGTAGAGAGGAGATGAAATCATTTGTAAGAAAACTGCCACTTCTAAGATTTAGAGGCTAAGTCTTAGCCAAAGTCACCCAAGACAGCCCCACGCCAACATTCCTTGGCTACCTGTACCCTCTCCCCTACCAGATCCCTCACTAAAAGGCTACAAATTCGCTCAATTAAGAAAGTAATGCCATGGGCTGGGGATTTAGCTCAGTGGTTCCGCTGCCTGCCTCGAAAGCGCAAGGTCCCGAGTTTGATACATGGTACCAAAAAAAAAAAAAAAATTAGGAGGCTGAGGCAGGAGGATTGCTATGAGTTCGAGGCCAGCCTGGGCTACATAGTGAGTTTAAGTCGCATACACTCCTATTGGACCATAGGAGTGAAGGAATAGAATTAAGTGGATTATATAAAATGGTAATTCTAAAAGTAATCACTAGAGTAAAGATACAAACCATCCAAATCTCAGAAAAAAGTACAGAAACAAGATGTGGTGGAATCCGGGCCAGGGGACCAGTGGAGCTGCACTCAGCCCGGTCAGGATCTCTCCTGGGACAATGTCGCCCACACTGGTCGTCCCTGGGGCAAAGTTGTGTCCCATTGCCCTCCAGGACAGCCTAGCAGCAACCAGTGCCCGGTGGTGAGGCTCCCGTGCCCACGGTTAACAGGGCCCAGACGCTGTGGCAGGCAGTGGTGGACAGTGATGAAACCTCACCCAGGTGACACAGGTGCCTGGATGGTGTGTGTCCCAGTGGGGGAGGATACTGAGGCCGAGCTGGAGCCAGGTCTGCCCTTGGTGCAGCGCATTGTTGTGTTTGCCCTGGGACCTTTCTTCCTTTTTTTTGTTTTTGAGACAGTTTTCCAGTGTAGTCCAGGCTGGCCTCAAACTTGAGGCAATCCTCTTGCCTCAGCCTCCAGGGAGCTGGAATGGCAGGCATTTGCTACCACTTCCGGCTAACTCTTCTGAGCTTAGCCTGCGTGCATCTCTGGATGGGACAAACGTTTCTTCTCAGTTCCTCAGCACACTGATGTCACGCTTCAGTCTGTATTGCTTCCTGCTGGGAAGTAGAGGGTTTGAAAGATGGTAATCCCTCCAGAATTCATCTGGAAACTTAGTTCCCGATGTGACAACACAGAGGGGCATGGCATTGGGAAGTGACTCAGCCATGAGGACAGAGCCCTCCCAAGATCAGCACCCTCTGAAAGGGCTGGAGGGTGAGGGTGAGCTCTCCTGCCTGTCCATCCCCTCCAGCAGGGAGGACACAGTGTTTGGCCCTTGGCAGTGAAGTATCACCTTGGAAGCAGTGACTGGGACTCACCAAGTCTAATTCTGCTGGTGCCTTGATATTAAACGTCTAGCTTCCAGAACTGTGAGAAAGAAACACCATTCTTTATTAACTACCCAGTTTGTGTTTTAAAAAAAATTCTGATGGGGTCTCTTTTTTTGTTTTTGAGACAGGGTCTCACTATGTAGTTCAGGCTGGCCTTGAACTCAGTTATGTGGCCCAGACTGGCCTCAAACTCCCAGTGATCCTCCTGCCTCAGCCTCCCAAGTGGTGGAATTACAGGCATGTGCCATCATGCCTAGCTTTTTGTTTCCTTTTAAAATCTTTCAAAAATATGGCTCCTGTTTTGTGTCATAGGTTAGGACCCAGGAAACAGACTAACAGACTTTAGGAGATAGATTATGGGCAGGAATATCTATGGTTGGGGTCAGCCTGGGTCAGGGAGCAAGGGGAGCAGAGTCCCAGAGGGAAGACAGCAGGACCTCCCTGAGACCCTGAAGGGGCTCTGGGGCTTCCAGCTCATCTCCCAATGGTCAGAGGTGGCTGGCCACCCACCCATTGTTGGATACAGGCAGCCTCTCTGAAGGACGCCTGGCCTTGGTGAGGTGGCTCTCTTCAAACTAATGAAAGACCTTGGGTATGCAGCTCTATGCCACCACCTGCCCAGCAGCCAAGCAGTGCCTCTTGGGGCACCTGATAAACAGTGCCCCCCCAAGGGGCTATTCAGACCCACAAGCTGTGCCCTGAAATCTGCTCCTCTAGGGAAAGTGTGCCAGGGAGAGACGATGTCCCCACACTGGCCCAGCTGCATGGACCCCTCTCTGGCTCACCTGAGCACTCCACGGCTCAGCCTGAGACTCACTGACTTCTGTGTCTTGGGTTTTATTTCTTTCATTTTTTATTAGAAAATCACTTCATTCTTACAGAGTAATTGCAAGGATAATTATAGTTTAACAAACCCCCTACATACCTATTCCCAGATTTAGCTATTAACATTTTAGCCTTCTTGCTTTTATATTATTCTCTTCTGTTTTATTTAATTAATCGATTGATTTTGTTTTATTTATTTATTTGGTACCGGGGATCGGACTCGGTCCTTGTGGTTGTGAGGCAGGCGGTGGAACCACTGAGCTAAATCCCCTGCGATTTTATTTTATTTTGAGACATCGTTTTGCGCTTCAGTCCTGTCATCCCCCAGTGCTGGGATGACAGGAGTATGCCACCATGCCCAGCTCTCTTCCTCTATTTTGTAGATACAGAATACATTTTTTCTGAGCCATTTTGGGAGCAAGTTGTATACATCATGGCTCTTGACCCTAAATACTTTAGTAGGAATTTTCAAACAGGAATACCCTTTTACCAAACAATGGGACGGTTATTGATTTCAGTAACCATTGATCCAATAGTTCTTTCTACACCTTAACTCTGATTCTGTCATGAACTCAATACCAGCCCTGTGTCACTTTCCCTCCTCCACTGAGTCCGGCCTGAGGTCACGCGTTGCATTTGCTGACCTGGCTGGAAGACTTCAGACCGCCAAAGTTTCGTCCAGGGTTCTGCCAGACCGGGGTGCTACGTACCACACCGCCAGGTTCCGGTGTGTCACCTGCCCAGTTAGGTTGACTCACTTTGCACTGCAAGTCACCAGTCCACAGGAGAGACTCTCCGACCTTGAAGGTACCTTCTCCTCATCACCCCATCCCTCTCCTTGGTGACTCGCCCCCCAACCCCAAGTCCCTCCAGGAGCCTCCTCTGGTCGTGCCAGGCTGACTCAAGCCTTCCTCGCGCTCTGGACCTGTCGCTGTGTCCGCAGCCTCTTGGGGCGTCTGGTTGCCCAGTCGAAGGCTGCACAGGCGTTTGTTTAGTTCATGGGAGCAAGGAGAGAAATAGTTTTTCCGCGGTATCCTGGCCACAAGAGCAGGCTCCCCCCGCCCCCCATGTCGGCAGAGCTGGGGGATAGGGCTGGAGGCTGTGCATGTCCAGAAGGGGGCGCCCCTGAGTCTCCACCGTCTTCCTGGGCCCGGGAGGCACGATTGTCCTGAGGCTCTGGCTGGCCCCCTGCGCACCTCTCGGCTCCACTAAATTCCCACGGTGGGGACCCCAGCCTTCTGCCCTGCACTCTGAGCGTCCAGGACGGCATCAGGACTGTTCCCCGCCCGTTGGCATCGGGAAGGGTACACGGGTAACCGAGCAGGTGTCGCTATCAGGACTAGTAGGCGTACGAACCACGTCCTCCATCCACTACCAGGGTCAGGCCCGGCGGATCCCAGATTCGGCTAATGCCGCCGACTGGCTACGGGCAGATAATCCCTCTCCACCCCGCGCACCTACTACGTGCCCCGCCCCGCCCCCGCTCCCGCCCCTGCCCTGCCCTCCAGTGCCGCAGCCAATGAGCGCGCGGCTCCGCATCCGGGGATCCCGGCGCGGCCACAGCCTCCCGCGCATACACGGCCATGGCGGAGGTGAGTGAGTGAGCCGGGGGAGCCGGCCCCCCGCCCTGTGTACGCGTGGCCGCCGCTGGGGTCAGCTTCGCTGGGGTCTGAGACCGAAGACCCCCGCACTGAGCCTCTGGGGCAGCGCGAAGGGCTCCCCGCCCTCCCGGAGCCTGAGGGGCTAAGGGCTTCTTCGGCTGCCGCCCCCGGCCCGGCCCCCCCCCCCACCCCGCGGCTGCCACATCGCGGGCTGCAGTGCGCATGCGCGGGCGCGGGGCTCAGAGGGGCTAGTGGCGGGCGGGGCTGGGAAGAGAGGGGAGAGGGCACGGATGGGGGAGCTAGTGACGGGGGGGGGCAGCGGGCTGGGGGCGTGGGGGGGTGGGGAAGGGCAGGGGCGGCGGGCCAGAGGCCTCTTCCCCCTTCCCGACGCGCTCGACAACTTTGCAGAGTGCTGGGGCCTGTGAAGTCCTGGATGGATTTCGAGCTCCACGGGTGGGATTTGAACCCCTACTGGGGATAGGCCCTGCAAATGAGTGATCGGCTGGGCTGACCTCAGGGCTGGTGTAGACCCGCTGTCCGGGGCATGGAGTTACTTATCGGAAATCTTTGGTGACTGCTGTGATTTGGAAAGCAGAATTTTTCCAACTTGAGGAATCTGGGATTTGGGACTTCGATGTTTGATCAAACCCAGCACTGCCTAGCATAGAGGGTGACAACACAGAGCTCCAAGTCGGGTCCTACCAGTAAGGGAAACTTTCGCTTTGGGAACTCTCTTGGTTTGAGAATGGCGGCCAAGGGAGGGCAGACCTGTGCTCTACCGATCCTGGTGAGGAAGGAGAGAGGTGATGTGTGAGGCACAGTGGCTGCTCAGGCTGGATAAATGTTACTTTTTGTGTTTGGCTGTTACGTGCTGGCCCTGTGTTGGGCTCTGGTCCCGAGGAAATTAAAACAGGCCTGCAGACCCTAGAACTGACCCTGAACTCAGGCGCCTCAGAGGCCCAGAGAGGAGAAGGCAACCACACCGAGAGATACAGCAGCTTCCTGGAAGCTGGAATTGGAAGTCTGGTCTGACCAGGGGCTGCACTGAATAGTTTATGTTTTGGCTCAGCATGGATGGATGATATGGAGACAGAACTGGCTGGCCATTCTCTCCTATCAGGGGCCTTCTCTGGGCTGGGCTGCAATAGGCTCTGTGTTGTGCCAGAGGGTGTAGGCGTTGGGGTGCGAGACCTCACCCACCATTTCCTGCCTTCTGCTGGGTGGCTGAGTCCAGAGCATTCTTAGAGACCTAATTCTCCTTCCTCAGAGAACATTTAGGGAAACTGAGTCCTCATGGGGATGCTTGTTCGCCTCAGGGTTTGCAGGCAGAAGCCAGGTCTGGTGTCCCTTTGGGCCATGGTGATGGGATGGGTATCCTGGCTCAGTCATGGCTGGCTTCCCTTCTGGGAGCTGGGGGGCCTTTAGGCAGCACCCTGGCCTAGCAGGTGATTGTGTCTTGGGCTGTTCAGGTCAGACTCCAGCAAGCCTTCCCGAGAGCTACAGGGTTTGGGCTGTTGCTTCTGTCTTGCCCTGTGGAGCTCACAGAGCTCTCACAGCAGCCATGTAGTCTGTTGCTGTTTTGCTTGGAGCCTGTTGAGTGCTTTTTTTTTTTAAGACAGGGTCTTGCTCTAGTTCAGGCTGACCTTGAACTCATAGCAGTCCTCCTGCCTTCACCTCCCAAATGCTGGGCTTACTGGCATGCACCACCGTGCCCAACTGTTGAGTGCATTTGGTTTGATTTTCTCAGGAGGCCCTCAGTACCTGACTCCATGCTTTGCCTTGGGGGGGCCTGTCTCATGGGGATTTAAGAGTCTGAGAGGGACACTGATCATCAAGGACTGACAAGTATGTTGAGCCTTGGCAGTCTTTGTCCCCAAGGCCTTTCCTACCTTGGAGGCTCTGTGGCAGAAGGATTCAGCCTCAGTTTTCTCATCTCTGCAGTGGTCAGTGGTGCTTGGCATCCTGGAGCCAAGAGGGCTGTCCTATTCTTGGCACAGTGGCTTGCAGCTAGAGGGTGGGCCTATGAAACTGCTGATATTTAGCTGTTTTTAACTCCTGGAAATGACTGTTTAACCCGATGGTGCTTGGTCTATATTAGCATCTTGACTGTAGTATTTTTCTCTCAAGGTAATCAGTGCCACAGTGGAAGATAGAAGTGCATCACCACCCTCTCATACACACTAGGTTAATCTTTAAAAATCTAAGTACACCATCTTTCACTCTTATGCAAAGCCCACGTGGCTTGTCCCTGTTCTTAGGATGACACATATCTCTTTCCCCGACCCCTGCCCCGTGGCATGATCCCCAGTGACCCTCCAGCCTCCGGCTCCTTCTGTTTTCTAGTGGGCTCTGCCCACAAGCTCTTCACCTCTCTCCACCCCTGGCCCCAGTTGCACAGCCCCATCCCATCTCCTTCGTTTCTGTGTCTGATTTCTCCTCTCAGCTGTGTGTACATCCACCCATGTGCTGTCTGTCCTAGCTGGACTGGTGACTCTGTGGGTGGAGACCAGCAGAACCTGTTTCTCAGGTGGCCCATAGTAGATGCTCATGGAGGAGGAAGGTTGGGCCTGGGGTGTCTAGCTGCCCTCCTGGGCTGGATGTGGTTGGGGAGGAGGTGAGAGGACTGGAGGGGATGGGTCATTCCCATTCCCTGTCCTTCATTTTGGATCACCAGCCCTGAGCTTCTGCACACAACAGCAGCTGCTTTATTTCTGTCTTCTGTGGTCCTCAGGGTTAATGGGCTGGGCCAGGCAGTTCTTACTGAAGGTCCTTCCTATGAGTGGTCTGGAGTGTGCATGGTGGCTTCCTCCCTTGTTTCTGGCTGTGGCTGGGACACCTGCATGTGGTCTATGCAGCTTGGGCTTCCTCACAACATGGCAGCCATGTTTCAGGAGTGGCTATCCCAACAGATGCCAGGTGGAAACTGATTGGCAGTCTGCACCCAGCCTTGGGAGCCAGTCTTGATCCCTTCTCCCATGGTCCTGGCCTGGCCAGGTTCTGTGGAGAGGACCTCCAGTCATCACGCCAGAGGAAGAGCATGGGGTGGGAGGTGTGGATGCGGCTACCTTGGAGAATGGAATCTGCCATGCGATTTTGAGTTCAGCTTTGCAAGGTGGGAGCAGAACTTGGATGCTGCCCTTGGGAGAAGGGCTGTTCTGTGCTCTGTGTTCTCCCAGCTTTGCCTCTGTTGGCTTTCCGTACTAATGGAGATGTTTGATGTGGTAGAGTGAAGTCAGACCAGGGGACCAAATGTTTAGGGGTGGCTCATACCTGGGCAGGAGTCACCTGGAGAGAAACTGGGACTCTGAGGCTGGGGTCCCTGGGGAACAGGCTCCATCCCCCTTGGCCGATGGCCTAGCTCTCTACCCCTCTGGGTCCCAAATCTCATTAGATGGTGGCTCAGACTGGACCATGACCTCAGACCCTGAGGGGACCCCACATCATGGCACTCATTCTTTCTGGACCGTGATCCTGTGGGTGGTGTTAACTTGTCCTCCAGAGTGTGGCCTCATTTGGTGACACACCCACCTCTCCCATCCCGCACCCCCCAGTCCAGGCTCTTGGTTGTAGGAATAGAGAGCCCCTCCCTGGGGAAGTGGTTTCCCAGGAGTCCCTCTGCCCACCACCCTGAGGTCCTGGAGGGGACTGGGGATGGCTCTGGAGAACACTGGGGTGCTCTCTGTGGGTTCACAATGTGAACAATTATCACTTGTGAGAACTCGGGACCTTGCACTTGTGAGGCAGGTGGCGGAACCACTGAGCTAAATCCCTGGCCCTGTAAGATTTTCTTGACGACCCAGTATCTTACTTATTTAAAAAAATTTGGGGAGGGGTCTGGGGATTTTTTTTTGCAGTTCCAGGGTGCGAACTCAGGACCTTGGGCTTTCGAGGCAGGCCCGGTGCCACTGAGCTAAATTCCCTGCCCAATATCTTACTTATTTTTGTGGTACTGGAGATTGAACCCAGGGGCTTCAAACTGAGCTACATTGTAGCCCATTTTACATTTTGTTGTTTTGACAGAGTTTTACTAAGTTACTAAGATACAGGCTGGGCTGTAAGTTATGAGCCTCCTGCCTCAACCTACCAGAGTGCTGAGATGACAGGCCTGTGTACTGTGTCAAGTTTAACCTTAGTTTTTGTTAGATATTCTAATCTACTTTTTTGGGAGTCGGCAGCTTTATTTAGGTATAATTCCTTTATCATGCAGTGCACCCATTTGGAGTGTGTGCAGTCCGGTGGGTTTTAGTGTTTTCAAGGTTGTATAACTGCTCTCACAATCAGTTTTTGGATATTTTCATCATCTCAAAATAAGCCCCTGCCAGCCATGAAACTGCTTTTTCTCTGTGGCTCTGCCTGGTCAGGGCATTTCACGTGAAATGAATGGCTTTTGCTGTCTGGCTTCTCTCCCTGAGCTCGGTATCTTTGAGGTCCTTTTACCTCCAAGCATAGCAGAGCTTCCTTCCTTTTCCTGGTGGAGTGTGATGTTTTTGCTTTGCTGTACATCAGCTGACGGGCATTACAGTTATTTCCACGTTTTACTGTTGTAAATAATCCTGCTACGATCATCCATGGGCAGGTTTTGGCGTAGACCAATGTTTTCATTTCTCTTGGCGAGGAATTCTGGGCCGTGTAGGGACACGGTACTTAACTTCTGGAGGGATTGCCGACTGTGGCCCAGCAGCAGCATGTTCCCACCAGCACCGTGAGGGCTCCAGTTGTCCACGTTTTCTTGTCAACACTTGTTATTGTCTGTATTTCGGATCATAGCTGCTGTGTGATTGAGAAGTGGTGTACAAGTGTGGAATGTGCTGTTTTTCCGTGGTGCAGTGTTGAAGCATGGCTTCATGTGCTTATTGGGCATTTGTGTGTCTTCTTTGGAGAGATGTATGCCCAACTTTAAATTGGGTTTTTTATCTTTTTATTATTGAGTCGTAAGAGTTCTTTGTATTATATAAGTCCCTTAGCAGATACGTGATTTACAGATATTTTCTCCCATTCGGAGTTTTCTCTTCACTTTTTCCATAGTGTCCTTTAAAGCACAAAAGCTTTCCATTTTAATATCATCTAGTTTGTCTATTTTTTTCTTATGTTGCTTTTATTTTTTGTGTCTCATTTAAGAAATCACTGCCAAATCCAGGGTCACAAATACTTATTCCTTAAGTTTTTTCATAAGAGTTTTATCGTTTTAGCTTTTTTTTTTTTTTTGTCAAAGTCTTTCATCTGTTGAGAGTTAATTCCTGTATATGGTACACAATGAGGTCCAATTCTGTTCTCTGCGTGTGGATATCCGGTTGTCTGGGCACCATTTGCTGAAAGCCTGTCTGTTCTGCATTGTGCTCTGTTGGCACTGTCCCTAAAGTTCAGTTGGCATGGATGCGATGGTTGACTTGTGGGCTCTCAGTTCTGTTCCACTGGTTGGCATGCCTGTCCTTATGCCAGCACCACGCTGCTTTGATCATTGTAGCTTTGTGGTAAGTTTTGAAATTGGGAATGTCCTATTTCAGCATTGTTTTGGGTACTCTGGGTCTCTTGAGTTTCCCAGTGCGTTTTGAAATCCGCCTGCCGATTTCTGCAGTCCTGGGGTTCTGATTGAGGGGGCCCTGACTGGGTCACCGAGTGAGGGCCCGCTCTCTTAGTGTTGTTTTCTCAGCCATAAGCATGAGGTGTCTTTTCATTTGTGTAGGTCTTCAGTTTTTCTCCACACCACTTTGTTTTAAGGAGTATACGTTTTACTGATCTCTTGACTCTACCACTGTGAATGGAATTCTTCTCTTAATTTTTGTGGATTACCCAAGATAGAAGGTAAAATGGATTTCCCTATGTTGATCTTGAACTATTCTGCAGCCTTGGTAAACTCATTTATCAGTTTGAGTAGTTCTTCGTTAGGATTTTACTGTGTACATAGGTACAGGATAACGTCGCTAGCAAAAAGAGCCAGGTTTAGCTCTTCCTGACCCAGCAGATTCCGTACACCGACCTGGCCCTTGGGGACGGAGTTAGCTGTCCTCAGGGTCACCCGGGAGCCGGGCTCTGACCCATGCTCACTCCTGGGCACCACTCTGGGTGGCCCAGCATGGCCCAGGCTGCCAAGCTAACCCTGCTTCTTCCTCCGCAGGCCTCCTCGCTGGAGAGGCAGAGTCCTCGAGTGGCCTCCTGCCTCACTCACAGCCTGTGCCCCCGGGAGCCCGGCTTGCAGACGACGGCAGGTACCTTCCTCACCCTGTTCTCCCACCCAGGGCCACCATGGCCTTTGTACTTGAGAAGGCAGACCCTTCCCATGGCCCGGCTGAGCAGAGGTGCCTTGGCTCCCATAGTCCAGGGTGGCCCTGCTCCCACCTCCTCAGGCAGACTGCTCAGGACCGTGCCTGTTCTTGTCCCAGTGAGGACTAGAGTTCTTATCTCAGGTAGGCTGAGGGGCACGGGCCGGGCAGGAGGCACCCCACATCACTGCGGCTCCCCTGAGCTGGCTGCTTGCCTGATGAGGATCAAGTACGCAGCCCCTCCCGTGGGGTCATGAGGAATACTTGGTGCTGGAGGTAGTTTCTGAGAAGGCTCTGCTGCAGGCAGGTGCGGGCTATCTCTTTGGGCTGCCAGGTCTCCACCCTGCCCTGCCCCGCCCCACCCCACGGGAGGACTGCATCTCGAGCTGCGCCTGCCTGACCAGTGTGCTGGCCTTGAGGCCGCCCTGCCCCAGGTCCCTGCCTGGCCCCCAGCCCCAGCCGGGGGCTGGTGGAACCCTGGCTCTTTCCCCATTTTGATGCTTGTGCTGTGTTTGACTTACTGAAGATCAGCTGTGGGGAGTCAGCTGTGAGCACTCTCACTCTGCTGGCGGCCCCCTTCCTGTGGGCTGTGCCTATCACAGGCTTCTTCGCGCTGCTGTGTTGTGGCCTGCCTGTCTCGTCCCTGCAACGACCTGCATAGCGTGGCCTGTATTTTGGCCATGAGTACCTTGCTGCGCTTGCCCAGAGCTGGGGAAACAGGCCCGGCCTGGCACCTGAGTCTCCACTCCTGCCCCCTTGCCTGACTCTTGCTTCCTGTCCGCACAACCCTTGAAGGTTCTGTGCATGAGGAAGACCAAGTGTCCCCCGGAAAGAAGCACCTGACCCACATCCCTGCGACAGTGCGTGTGTCTTGCCCCTGCTCCTCAGCATCCCCGTTGCCATGGGTTCTCTCGGTTCCCCATGTGGGAAGCCGGCCTTGCCAATGGACCGCTTTGTGTGTGCCATGGGCTTTGTCCCTGAGGACTGCAGGGCTGCCATTGCCTCCCCTCCCCTAGACGTCTGCCTCTGCTTGGTGGCCAGGCACAGGCGAGGCGGCAGCTCACCTCACCTGGGCCGGGCTCTCCTCCACAGTGGTGTCCGTGGGCTCTGCCAACCAGCAGTTCAGCCTCGCCGAGATCCTGTCGCAGAACTACAGTCTCCGGGAGGAGTGCGCAGCGGGCTCGAGAGGCCCGGACAAACCCTCGGAGGAGCTTGCCAAGGACTTCATCTCCCAGGTGCGTGGGACAGGTCTGGGCTCTGCTGTCAGGCTAAGACCTGTATGCAGAGAGCTGAGAGTCTTCCAGGAGCTGTTGCCTTCTTCTGTTTCGCAAGTCAAACTGAGGCATTTAAGGAATAGCATTTACTAATTCATTGTGATACGGACAGTAGGGCCAGGGTGCAGCTCAGTGATGAGTGCTTGCCTAGCATGTGCGAAGCCCTGGGTTCCATTCCTAGCACTGCAGAAACAAAGAGGAACAAACCAAATACATGTTAATTTGAAGATGAAAAAAGTACTCCATGTCCCAAAACAGGAGAAGAGAGGGAGGGGAGGGGATGTGCATTTCCCCACATCTCTGGGTGCGGTGCGTCCGCCCTTCTGCTGGAGGTGTTATCAGCCCTGCAGACCTGGTGCCTTCCCGGGGTTGTGTGTGGCCTCCACTCTGCCAGAAGCCAACAGTTGGTATTCTGCAGAGCGGTGGTGTCAGGCCGTGCCCAGGAACTTTCTGTCCTTGGTTCTGGTGAAGTTGGCTCAGCTCTAGCCACGAGGGATCTGTCAGCTCTGCACAGGCATCGCTGCAGTGCCTTAGTCCCCAACACGCAGGTCTTCCAATGTAAAGCTGAAACCTCATTCATGAGTGTCCGATTTGCCAGAGCTGCCATAAAGTGACTCCTGAGACCGGGTGGCTTCAACAAGAGACCCGTCATTTTTTCATAGTTCAGGGCTGTAAAGTCCCAGGTGCAGCCAGCAGCATGGGTTTCCCGGGAGGCTCCTGGCTTCTTAGGAGGACACTAATCCTGTTGGATCAGGGCCCCGCCCTCGTGCCCCCATGTCCTCCTATACTTTCTTTCCTTTCTTTTTTTTTTTTTTTTGGTACTGGGGATTGAACTCAGGTCCTCGCGCTTGCGCAGCAGGCGGCGAAACCACTGAGCTAAATCCCCGGCCCTTATACTTTCTTTCCTTCTGTGCAGGCCTTATCATCACAGTCAGGCTGTCTAGTGTTCCTTTACAGTTAATGTCCCACCAGTCTCATCCAAAGTTTGCTGAGTACTGAGGATTTACTGTAGCAAGTTCAGGTGATTAGACCCAGGTTTTTAAAAGTTACAACATGTGGCATGAGAGTACAAGTCTCAATATGGTAGCAAGTGCAGTGAGTTTTCCCTGGTTCATGTTGGAGGCAGTGTCCCTGCAGCCCTGTGGGGTGGCCGGTGTCTGTAGCACACTTTGGAGAGGACACTGGTAGGTAGATGGCTTCCCTGTCCTCCCCACACCTGTGCCCTTTGAGTGGCTATCTCACCTGTGTCCAGCAGGTGGTGTGCGTGCCTCTCGTTTCCCACACAGCAAAATAAAACCTCTGCTCCAGTGAGGTTTCCCAAAGTCACCAGTTTTGTCCAGCCTGTCTGTATCTGGAAGGGGTACCACGGTGACGACTTGTGTGCCATGCTGTGGCTGTGCCAGCTTCTTGCCCTGCTGAGGCTGCAGCAGTGGCGCAAGGGTCATGGCAGGAGAGGGTGCAGGGAGTGTCATGGTACTGCTGCAGGGGTGGCCCAGGGACCCCGGGGTCTTGGCCACTTTCCATCCTCACAGCAGACGCGCCACTGGGACTGGATCAGCGCACTGAATGGTTTCCCTGTGGACCTGAGATGAGTCCTGGGATGAGTCAGGGCAGGAGTTAGCGTGTGGGGAGATAGGTACTGACCTCCTGGGGGGACCTCCAGGAAGTTAGGAGCTGATGGCGACCCACACGGGTGAGGATGGAGTACAGCAGGCCAGGCGTAGCAGCCTCCGGAGGCAGAGAGTGACCTGTGAGGAGAGCAGCCGTGTGTCCCCTGCTCCCCAGGGGCCCAGGTCCCTCCCTGCTTCTTGTGGTGTTGCGTGGCCTGAGCCTGCCACTGCTGCTTCCTGTGGTGCTCCGGTCTGCGGGCCCTGTGGGGTTGCCTTTGTGGCTGTTATCACGGCAAAGTACCCTTCTGTTTACTTAGGGTTCTGAGATTTTTCTTTTAAATCAGATGTGGGTGTTGGATTTTACCAAAGCCTTTTTCAGTTCTGTCTCTCCATCTTCTGTGTGTTGAGGTCCTGAGTTGCTGTGGTTGAGTGCCAGGTGGCAGGCCGTTGTCCTTTTGTTCTTAGAGTCAGCCATGCGCAGCACACTGTGCCTGCGGAGGTCTGAGCCCAGGTGTGTCTTGCTCCTGGCTGGTGGCCTCTGGGCTCCGATTCCCCACTGTCCCCATCCTGCGCTGCAGAGAGCTCTGGATGGAGGCTGGCCTGAGGCCGGCCGGGGGACACTGCCCTGTGGGGGACGGGTGTGGGGCTGACATGCGCTCCTGCTTGTGGTGGCCGCTGAGGCTCAGGAGGATGATCCCCTCCTGACAAGGCCCCGTGTCCTCCTGCCCAGAGCAGTGACATGCCCCTGGATGAGCTGCTCGCGCTGTATGGCTATGAGACGTCAGGCCCCACCTCGGAGCGCGGAAGCGAAGGTGGTGACACGGCCCCTGCCCTCCCAGACATGACCCTGGACAAGGTGAGCCCCTGTCTGTCCTGCAGCTGCCTCAGCAAAGGCCCTGGTCACCTCTGGGTGGAGGGTGGGCTCAGCAACAAGAGAGGCACTGGAGCCTCAGGTGAGGTCAGCAAGGGGGAGCCAGGGTGAGAGTGGCCGTGGGTTGGGCTGGTCGATGTCCTGGTGTGGGTAGCTGGAGGGGCAGACCTGGAGGCTGTCCTGGGCAGCACGGCAGGGAAGGAGAGGCAGGCCCAGGAGGCTCAGTGTTGTCTTGGTGAGGACTTATCCCCAGGTATGCAGTGGAGGGAGCTAGGTGCCCTGTGGGTGGGTGGCCACTGCTACCTGTCCCGTGCTGTGCTGCTCTGTCCCTGCAGCTGTTTCTTGTCTGAAGAGGGAGTGACAGCCCAGGGAGCCTCTGGGGGCTGCTGGGGAGGGCAGCTGGCATGGTGGCTCTACCATCATTTCCCTTGGTGTCATTTTGAGATGGGTAAAACAAAGTGAACTGCAGCATTTTCTTTGCTTTTTCATCACAAGGAACAAATAGCGAAGGATTTGCTCTCTGGGGAGGAAGAGGAAGAGACACAATCCTCCGCCGATGACCTCACCCCATCCGTCACCTCCCATGAGGCTTCTGACCTTTTCCCTGGCCAGAATAGATGTAGGTGCCCCGTCCTTTTTTTTTGTTTATTGGTACCGGGGATCGAACTTGGACCTTGTGCTTTTGAGGCAGGCGGCTGCACCACTGATCTAAATCCCTGGCGCTTCACCCCCTCTTCTTGACACCCACTCAGGGGCCTCAGGCTGGTGTGAGCAAACGCAGGTGGGGTTTGGGGCCCTGGCTGGCTGAGCTTTCCTCTGTGCTGGCCCGGGGCCGAGACTTGAGGGTGGGCTTGGTCTGCACATGGAGGGAGTGCAGTGGTTCCTGGAGCAGGGCCAGGGCCAGCGCCCCCAGACCTTCCAGCCCCAGCCACCCATGTCCTGGCTGGAGAGGAGGTGGAGGGGCCCCTTCCTCATGGGTGGCCTTGGGCCTGTGCCTGTGCCTGAGGAGCTGGTCACAATATAGGGGCTGTCACTAGAGGGGCCGTGGGCTGCAGCAGGGAGAGGGCAGGGCTCTTGCAGCAGATGCAAGCGCCTTACACCTCTCTCTCCCCAAAGCCTGTTTCCTGGTTGGCGAGGACAAAGACCCGGGCTCCCTGGCCTCCTCTGACACCGAGGAAGACTCTCTTCCTGCCAACAAGTGTAAGAAGGTGCGTGGGCTGGCCATCCCAAGCCCTGGAAGCTCAGCTGGCACCCCAGAGCCCCTTCTCCGAGGGAGGGATGGCGCGGCTGGGGTCTCCTCTCGTCCAGTGCTGTGGCCCATCCTGTCCAGCATGCTGGGTTTCTCCACCCATACTCAGGCCTCTGCCTCCCGCCGGAAGCCTGCAGAACTGGGTGTCGGCGGGTGGGTGTGATGGGTGTGCCCCCACTGGCCAGAACGTCCACACACCCTGACCCCGGCCTTGCCTCTGCAGGAGATCATGGTGGGGCCTCAGTTCCAAGCCGACCTGAGCAGCCTGCACCTGAGCTGGCACGGTGAGAAGAGTACGTGGCCGGGAGCAGCGGGAGGCAGAGCTTGCCGGTTGGGTCCTTGGAGGTTCACTTGCGATCTGCGGTCCTGTCCCATAGCACTCTGTCACTCGGGCACATGCACATCCACCACCTGGCCCTGTGCAGGATCCTTTCCAACCGCCCCCTCCTGCCCTGCTCCCTGCCTATGGCTTTTTCTCCAAGGGCCTGGACTCTCCTTGCTCAGCCCATAGGTAGACGTCCAGGCAGAGACTTTGCCTTTGGTCCCTGGTCCCTGTGTCCCACTCTGTTCCTCTGCAGGGCATTTACTGTTCCTGGATGTGCTGTGTGCCTGTCCCTGTCCCTCTTGTGTGAGATGCGGGGTTGCTTGGCTGCTGCCTGTCTCCTGCCTTTTTTCCACGGAGCCCTGCAGGCCTGGGCTGCTCCTGGCTCAGGAAGTGTTTCCCCTGTGACTCGGCAGCGGGGCTGGGGGAGGGAGGGGACAGATACCTGGTGCTGTGGGCTGAGGGAGGTGGACACCCTCCCAGGGCCTCAGACTTCGGTGTGGCCAGATGGGGTGTGTGGACTCAGTCGTGGCACAGGAAGACCTCAGGAAGACCTCTGACCTCAGGCCAGAGGGGGCCCAGGGACTCCCTGTGAGAAGGGCACTGTGCCACCACCGCTGTGCCTGTAGTGTGGCCTGAGCCTGTCTGTGGACCTCATGCTCTGGGCTCTTCTTGCCCGTGCAGGGGACAGCCAGGGCCTGCTGCTCGAGGGGCAGGTCCGCCTCTGAGCCTGTCTGTCCGTTGCGATGTGTCCTGCATGCTGCGACAGCGTGTTCCTCATGTGCCTGTCTGTGCTCAGTGTCAGGAGGCCCCCAGTTGAGTGTGGGTGTGTGTGCCAGTGCCTGGGGAGAGTTGGTGCCCTATGGTGGGCAGGCTCTGCCCAGTTCCCACAGTGCTCATGGGACAGACCTGTCCCCACGACCTCATCAGCATGGACATCATCTCTCTCGTGGGTCCGAGCCCTCTCCTTGAGGCTTTAGTGTCTCGTCCTCAGTAGGTAATGTCTGTGGGTCACTCGGATGCCCTCTTGTGGCGCCCTGCACAGGGCTGCCCCGAGTCCAGCTTGGATGCTGTCCTGGCTGGCTGTGTGCACTGCACTGCTGTTTCTCCAGTTCGGGGCTCGCCCTTTGTCACCTGTGACAGAGGATATGTCGGTCTATCTCTAAGGGTTTGCTAGTGTGATAGGACCCTGTGTCCTCTGCAGCCCGGGCTTCCTCCTCCATCCCCTGGATGGGTGGCTGCCCAGAGGTGAGGCCCAGCCCTCGATGCCCGGTGGCATTGTGGGAAAATCCTTCCTGGCCCAGAGGCGGTGGTGCTTCTGAAGGTCCCTTTTTTTTTTTTTGGTACCGGGGATCAAACTCGGGTCCTTGTGCTTGCAAGGCAGGCAGCGGAACCACCGAGCTAAATCCCCGGTCCCGGTCCCGTGTTATCAGTGTGGTCTTCAGGGTGCTTCCTGTATCTCATTAGGCCTCTTATTTGTGTAATGCTGAAGGGTATTTTAAATACTTTGTTTTCTGCTTGGTTCTTGCTAACAGAAATGCGTCTTATTACTTTAATTTTGTAGTAATTGTGATAAATAACTGATTCCGATATGAAAATTCTTTTGCATTTTCCTATGTACCCAGTCATGTCCTTTGCCAAGGGCAGCCTGGCTTCTTTCTTAAGGATCTCTTTAGCTTTCTTTTTTCAGCCCTTGAAAATACAAGGTGCGCAAGGAACAGAGGACGCCCTTGCCCTGTGCCAGGCTCAGGGAACGTGAAGTGTGACGTCGCCTGTAGGAGTTCTGTCATCTTTGTTAGTTGAAAAAGCCCCATGTCCTGTTGCTGGCGCTCCTGTTTTGGACTGGGGGACTGAAATTTGTCACACATCGTCTGCTGCCTTGCTTTGGCTGTTTTCTTTCTGTGTCTGTGTGTGACATCACTGTGGCCAACTGGCTGTGCTCCCCGTCTTGTGGAGGGGGGACACCACTGTCCAGGCAGGAGGCACTATCACCTTGTTATCTGACCCCAGGTAGCTTGAGAGGCTGCCCCCGAGGTGTGGCGGCAAAGCCCTCCCTTGCTTGGCACATGCTCCATGCCTCTTCATGGGATGAAACATCCGTGTGCTCTTGGTTGGCAGTTCTGCACCTTAAATGCCCCCAAGTGCGTGCTGAGGCACTGCCCAGCATCCTGAAGTACAGGGAAGCTCTGTGCGTTAGATCTCCCTGCACACGTGAGTTTCGGGCTGCAGACCGTGGCTTCAGTGTGACTGAGTTGGCGGTGTGTACTTGGGAGCCCGAACCCTGTCTGTCCCTTCGGGGCAGCAACAGAGCAGTCACTAATTCAGTGCCTGCAAGGGAGTTCTTGGAGCTTCCTCACTTGCAGGAGAGTCTGATTTGCTCATGTTGATGGTTGGTGTGTGCCTGTTCTTGGAGACCCTGCCTGCAGTTTGTTTGTCCCTGTAAAGGTTTGGTACAGGATTACACCACTCTATGGCATGTGTTTGCAAGTGAAGCTGTCTGGCCTAGGGTTTAGGCATTTAAACATTTAGTTTTAGTTTTAGTTTTAGTTTTTTGGAGACAGGGTCTTCTATGTACTTCAGGCTGGCCTTGAGCTTTATAGCTCAGGCTGGCCTCGAACTTGTGATTGTCCTGCCTTAGCCTCCTGAGTGCTGGGATTCCAGGAGTGGACCACCATGCCCCCAGCTTTGTCTTATTTTTGTGGAGTGTTTAAATGACAGGCGTAGTTGGTAGGTTGGTTAGGGATGTCTGTCCAGAGTTTCTGTCTTGACAGTTGTATTTTGAGGGAGGGCCCACATTGGTAGCATCTAGCTGTTGGGTCCACTCCTCTTGTGTCTTCCTCATGTCCTTGGGATCTGCAGTGGCTCCTCATGTGGCAATTTGCATTTTCTCCTTTTTTGTTGGTCTTGGTCATTCTTTGGTTTCTTGGGGTTTTTTATTGGTTTTTTTTTTTTTTTGAGACAGGCTGTTGCTTTGTAGTTCAGGCTGGCCTCAAACTCTTGGTACTTCTCCTGCCTCCACCTCCCAAGTGCTGGGATTACAGGGATCAGTCACCATGCCTGGCTTGCCTTGATCATTCGTGTTGTAGTTTATTTACATAGAACCAACTTTTTGGGCTTCTTGAGTTTTCCCTGTGGCTTGATTTCTATGTAACTGGTTTTTTACTTTCATCTTTATTTTCTTCTACTTTATTTCCATTTCATTTGTCATTTTCTAGTTCCCCTTGTGATTTCTTTTTTGACTGTGAGTTTTTCTGTTTAAGTCCTCAACACTGGGAGCCAGACATGGTTGTACACGGCTATAATCCCAGCACTCAGGAGGCTGAGGTGAGGGCATCACTGTGAGTTTGAAGCCAGCATGGGCTACATAGTGAGACTGTCTCAAAAAATAAAGTCCCAAACCCTGGGAATTTGGGCAGCTGTTGGGTAGAGGTTTGCTCTCGGATCAGCGCAATTACTTGCTGTTCACTACATCTATCTTCCTGCCTCTTGTTTCTGGGAAACTTGCCCCGTTAGTTCCTGGGAGAGACCCTTGCTTGCCTCCTATGCTGTGGGCTTATGTTTCCTCTTTCTCTGTGTGTGGAGGTGCTGATCTTAGACCATGTGTGTCCTGCTATGTTTGCAGTGTCCTTGTCCCTCTGATGCCCGCATGGAAGCAGCACTGCAAACGCGACACACTCTCTATAAAGGATACGTATCTCACCTTGCTTTTTATTCAGTGTAGTAGTCTTTGTAGTGTACTTCGTCCATTTGCATTTTTTGATTACTCACAAAACCAGTTTTTTCATTTGGAAAATATTGGGTTTCGGTCTACCATCTTGCTATTTGCTTCTTGTTCTTTTATTTTTTCTTGTCTCTTGAAATTTGTTTGGTCTTCTGTGTTCTGAGAGGGGCCTGATGCTGTGTTGCCCAGGCTAGTGTCAAATTTGTGGACTCAAGTGATCATCCAGCTGGCCTCCCGAGGAGCCGGGGCGCAGGCACCTGGTGTTACACTCAGCCATTGTCTTCTTTTTGAATAAGCACATCAGTTTACCCTGACTTGTCCCCGTTTCAGTCTTTTAGGACTCTTCGAATTCTTATTCTGGCGGCTCCCGTGTGGACGTGGTTTGTCCACACGTGCACCTCCGCTTCCCAACTCAGCGTGCTGCCCTGCCCTGCCCTGCCCTCCCAGGAGCATTTGTGTGCAGCAAGTGAGGGGACCCTGACCCGGGGCTGCCGGGCCCAGTGGGGTCCCCTCCTTCCGCCAGTCTGCTGGCAGGCCTCTTACAGCCTGTGGTCTGGACCGTCTTCGCTTTCCCTGTCTTGAGAACAGTTTCCTGCTCTAGGCGAGCAGCCCTCTGTTCCCATTCGAGGTTCCACCCCCGCTGTTGCCTGTTCATCCTGTGTGCATCCTGCTTCCTTTGTAGTCCTTGACCCCCTTTTACTTCCTGAGACGCTTTTCCTTTGCTGTTTCTGGTAGCTTTTTGACGATGATGTACCTGCTCACGTGTCTTTTATTTCCTTACGTATATGCTGAGGTCAGTGATGGCAAACCTGTGGCCCAGGTGCTGCCAAGGGCTGTTTGTTATTGAAAGCTCTAAAAGGTTCGCTGTCACTGCTTGAGTTTCTTGGGTCTGTGGGTGGGGGACTTTTTTTTTTTACTCACTGTGAGAATGGAACCCAGGGCTCACACATACTGAGCAATTGCTCTACCTGTGAGTTACGTTCCCAGCCTTTTTTTGTTTCATTTTGTAACAGGATCTCACCAAGTTGCTCATGGTGGCCTTGAAGTTGAGATCCTGCCTCAGCTTTCCTGAGTACTGGGATTATAGTTGTGTGCCACCGTGCCTTGCATCATTCATCGGTTTTGGGGAATTCTTGGCCATCACCTCTTCAGATTTTAGGTCCGCTCCTTCTGTGACCTGGTCACCTTGTCTGGGTGGCTGGGTGTCTGACACAGTTCCTAAACTAGGTTCTTTCTCTATCCGTTTCTGGTGTGTTGTGGTATTGGCTTCTTTTGCTGATCTTGTCTCATGCTGGTGCAGGCCATTCTGAAGCCATCCTGGGGTGGTGACTTCAGCTGATTGGTGGCTGTTAATCCATACAGCCTTCGGTTTTTTGTTAAACCCTGTGTTTTTCATCCACACTGTCCTGCCTCTGTCCCTGGCATGTGACGCTGTTGTCATCTGTGGACACCGTAGTGCCTGTGGTCTTCTGCTCCCTCTCACCTTTTCCCGTGTTTCCTCGCTGGTTCTCACCAGCCATGCACAGTGCTCTCTTTTCCCCTCTTTGCCCTGCTCTCCCTTGGGACCCCTTCGTCCAGGCAGGCTGCAGTGTGGCCTGGTGGCGGCAGGGGGTGGCTGTGGTGTCTGTGGTGTTGTGTGGGGGTCTTGGCAGTGGAGAGGCCTCCCCCTGGGGTTTGGAAGCGCTGGCCCTGTACTGTAGCGGAGAACAGTTTTCCTGAGCCTTTCTTGCTGTTCTGCTTTGGTCGGGTGTGTTTTTAGTTCTTGGTTTAGTGTTTAGTCTCACAACTGTCCTGGATTGTGGAGAGGCGTAGCCCTGAGCTCTTCCTCCCTGCACCTAGGGACTTCTGTGTCTCTTCCTTAGCGGGCCAGCTGCCTGCTGGAAGCCCTCTTATGGCCCCTCCCCAAAGCTGGCCACACTGGCCTCTCCTGCGGGTGGCTCCTGCTTCCCTGGCTTTGTTGTCCTGCCACCCTGAGTCTGATGTCCTCCTGGCCACCCTTGTGCCCCACGCTGGCCGTGGTCCTGATCTGTACGTTGAGCCGCATGTAACTGGTGCTGGTGGGCCTGGAGCAGGAGCCTGAGGGGCTGGCTGTGCCCACCCCATGCCAGGCCTGACCTCACCCTCTCCTGCAGTCTATGAGAACGAGGACCAGCTGCTGTGGGACCCCGGTGCCCTCCCTGAGCGGGAGGTGGAGGAGTTCCTGTACAGGGCTGCCAAGCGCCGGTGGCAAGAGGTGGCCGGCTCCCAGCTCCCAGAGGGGGAGGCTGTGAAGGACAGCGAGCAGGTGGGGCCTGTGCCAGGGCGGGGGAGGGATGCTGGCCATGGGAGCCAGTGTGGGTGTGAATGCAGTTAAAGCCCCTACAAAGACATGGTGGTGTTCATACCCGCCCATGTCACTCTGGGAGGTGTAGATACCTCCGTGTCTCTCTCAGGGTGGTGGTGGAGATGCCCCCAGCGTCTTGGAGTGGGGGTGTAGACACCCTCCTGTATTACTTGGGGGGGGTGTGGATGCCCCACCCGGCCCCTGTGCATGGGAGGGTGAGCAGTGCCTCCCCCCAGGCGCTGTACGAGCTGGTGAAGTGTAACTTCAACGTGGAGGAGGCCCTGCGGAGGCTGAGGTTCAATGTGAAGGTGATCCGAGGTGAGCTGCGGCCCCAGGCGCCCTCCCCACTGACCGCCCCACCCCGCAGTGCCCCACTGACCACCTGCTCTGCTGCAGATGGGCTCTGTGCCTGGAGCGAGGAGGAGTGCAGGAACTTCGAGCATGGCTTCCGGGTACACGGAAAGAACTTCCACCTGATCCAGGCCAACAAGGTGAGGCCCCCGCTGTGTGCCCATCCATGTCTCGCTCCAGTTTCCTCTACCATCTTGGCCAGGTTCTTTTCCCACCTCAGAGAACCAGGTCCCACTCAAGTTGACTTCTGGCAGCTGTGCCTGACGTGTTCCACGTTTGGTCAGGGCACCGTCCTGTTGTCACTGCATCCTCAGGGGGGAGCCCATCTATTGGCTGGGTCCCCACACTTAGCCCAAAGCTGTGGGAACGCGGTCTCCTGGTTCTTTCATCCAGGGGCACTGGTCCTTCTGCCCGGTCTTCACGGAGGTGAGTCCTCTGGGAGTCTGTGCACACCTTACAGCAGCACAGTGGCCCCGTGGCTTCTGAGGTGACCCCCAAGCCAGGCTCTTGGTAGATCTCCACCTTCCAGCCACCAGCGCTTCCACCCCTGAGGCCCCCATTTTAGTTGTCTGGTCCTTTGCTCTGGCCTTGTGACTTGGGGACACACAGATGTAGGGGCCTTGACGTCTTCCTCTGCAGTTGAGAGGCAGGAGGTCCTGGATGGGGATGTTGCTGCGGTGACCATGTGCCCAGGACTGGGTCGGAGGCAGTGCTTGACCCTCTTCCATCCTCAGACTTCAGCACCTGAGGCTTCCGGAGCCCATGGCAGGTGTTCTCCTGCTAGGGGCTCGTGGCCATGCACTTGTTGGTCAGCATGATGTGTAGATGCAGGCAAAGCACTGACTGCCCAGCCCTCCCCAGAGACCCCTCTGGGGTGCGTTCAGACCTGTGTCCTGCCGGGTGGGAGATGGTTCTCAGAGGCCGGGCGTCGGCGCCTTCCACTGTCAGTGGGGTGTGTGCACCCAGAGTACCTCCTGTGGTGCAGCCCTGGCGCTGTGGTGATACTTCCCAGGGGCGTCCTGGGTGCCTTCAATGGCCAGGTGTGCATCATGCCAGGGGCTGCCACCGCTGCACTGCCTCCTGTCTCAGCACCCCCTGGCGCGCTCTTCTCCCATGTCCTAAGTGTGACCTATGGTGTGGGTTTCATAGGACCCAGGTGTATGCTCAGGCAGTTCTTTCTCAGGACACGAGTGACACTCTGTCCACTGTCCCTTACCTCACATGGTGTTCTCTCTGGGAGCTCCATCCTTGGTGATTGTCCTGTGTTCAGGTCCATAGGAGCAGGTCGAGGAGGTGGACGCTGACCCTTTCTGGGATCCTGGATCAGGGATGTGGGAGGTGACCCCGGGCTGGGGCCTCTGAGTGTTGGTTTGTGGTGTTAATGCCATTCAGGGACAGCAGGGTCCCAGGCCAGGAGGTGGGCGCTCCAGTGGGGGGCCATGGGGCCATTGGCGGTAGCCCGTGAGCCCAGATGGAGGTGGGAGAGGTAGTGCTGAGGCCGGGCAGCAGGGCCAAAAGGGTGCCTGCCGTCCTGCAGGTGCGCACACGGTCAGTGGGCGAGTGTGTGGAATATTACTACCTGTGGAAGAAGTCGGAGCGCTATGACTACTTTGCCCAGCAGACACGGCTGGGCCGGAGGAAGTACGTCCCGTCTGGAACCACGTGCGTGCAGCACTGCTGTCAGCAGTAACCTTGGCTGGGCCACCTGCCCGAGGCTGGGCTGGGTGTGGCGGGGCACCTAGGCGACACCTCGGGGTCAGGACATCATGCACCCTGCTTCGTGGCCCCTCACAGCTCCTCTTTCCATAGGGATGTGGACCAAGACCTGGATGGCAGTGACCCCGATGGCCCCGCCCGCTCCCGTGCCGAGCAGGGGCCCCTGGTGGGTGCGTGCACAGGTAAGCTGCAACAGGGCAGCCGTGTGCTCCTCCCTGGAGCTGCCCTGGGTCAGGCACCACCTTGAGCCCTGGGCCTCCCACAGTCTTGGGCTGCATTGACCAACCCCATGAGTTGTGTTGCTGGGGGCCGGATTCCACCTGTTATCTGGGTCCCATCCGACAGGCCTCTCTGGCTTGGTCTCATTGTGGGGTGCTCAGCCTTGACCACCAGGCTATGGAGGCCACCAAGGAGCCGGGCAAGGCCACCGATGGATTCTCCCAATGTTCTGGTGTTTTGTTTTGTGACACTGTGGATAGAAGCCAGGGCCTGGGCATACTAGCCCACATCCTCTGAACTTTTGATGGCGTTCCCTTGAAGGAGCACAAGCAGGGCCCTCTGCTTCCTTGAGATGCCTCATTTCCAGAATCTAGCATGGTTTGCCCAGAGGGTGAGCATACCTGCCAGTTCCCCTTGTGCATTGAGCTGGGCATGATGGTACACGCCTGTCATCCCAGCACTTGAGAGGCTGAGGCAGGAGGATCACTGTGAATTCAAGGCCAGCCTGAATTGCATAGCAAGACCCTGTCTCAAAAACACCACTAACTGGGGCTGGGGATTTAGCTCAGGGTTCCACTGCCTGCCTCACAAGTCCAAGGTCCCAAGTTCGATCCCCGATACCAAAAAAAAAAATAAAACACCACTAACAACAGAAACTCAAAATTGTGTATGATGTGCCTCTGTGCTGCTCAGGGGAACAGTTCACACAGCTGCATGCTTACTGGGTCCTCACAGTGCCTCCGGCCTTTTTGTCAGCTTTTTCAGTGGTTGTATCCGGTCCCATTTGGAATTGTGGTTTTGACCCACTCAGTTGGTCTTTGAGCTTTAAATGCCAGGACCATTAAAAGTGTCTACCTGGGTCCGTGACTGCTGTGTGGCTGGATCTCTGTGCTTGTGTGTGTTTCAGGTGTTTGCGTGGCACATCTTTCTGAGAAGGCCAGTCAGGAGCCTGCACAGTGGCGGCCAGAAGTGCATGTGGGGTCTGGGAGGGCTGGCGTGTGGGCTCTGGGGTCTGCTCCCTGAGTGCAGCCAGCACCCAACTATGTTCTCCCCTGCAGAGCCGCTGAGTGTGGACTGTGTGTCTGGTGGTCACGGTGAGCCTGGAGTGGACTCCGATGGCCTCCCATCCTCGGAGCCGGGGCCCTGTCCTTTCCAGAAGCTGGATGAGCCCCCTGCTGTGCCTCTGCCCCAGAGGCCACCAGTACACGACCTGGCCGTGTACCCCTCGGACACAGCCACTCCAGAGCCAGGTGCCAGCCCGAGACTGGCTGTGGACTTCGCCCTGCCGGAGGAGCTACCCCTCCTCTCTAGCCATGTGGGTCTCAATGAGGACCCCGAGGAGCCTGTGGCCCCTGCACAGGTGGCCTTGTCGGTTGCTGAGTTTGGACTCATTGGCATTGGAGACGTGAACCCTTTCCTGGCTGGCCACCCAGCATGCCCAGCTCCCGGGCTACACTCGGAGCCCCTGTCACAGTGAGTACCACCCCCCATGCCCTACAAGATGCCTGGCACCCCAGGCCGAACCTCACCTGCCAGGGCCTGAGTGTGGCAGCCCTGACATCACTGCCATGAATCTGACTCACTTTTGCACTAGGTGGTACATTTGTGTGGCTCAAACCCAAGAAGGTGCAGAGGGTGCAGGTGCCAGGTCCTCACCCTGCCCCAGTACCCTGCACCCTCTGCCTGAAGGGTCTCCGACAGGAACAGGCGGCTCAGCTGTGGGTCGGGGAGGCCCTGACCCACCCTCCTCTCTCTGGCAGCTGCAACGTGATGACCTGTTGACCCCTGGCTGCAGGCGGGCGTGGGCAGCCTGGACTGGACTTGTCACCGAGCCGGGCCTACCCGTCAGTCTTCCTGACCCCCGCCATGTGGGCCTTGGTGATGCCTTCTCTGCTTCGGGAGACATCAGGACTAGGTGAGGTGGCCGGGCTGGCAGCCCTCGCCCCTCCTCACAGACTGGGCCCAGGGGGCCTCAGTGCCTGGCACTTCCACTCTGCTCCAGGCTGCCGTTGCATCAAGGGACCCACTGGGCAGTGGATGCAGAGAGGGCCTGTCCTTCAGGACACAGGGCAGAGCTGGCCATTTGGCCCGTTCCAGCCAGCGGAGGTGGGGGCAGACATCACTGCCCCACAGGGCACACGGACAAGACACGCACCAGCAGCCTCTGCCCAGGCGCCTTGGCCCCTGTCGGCTCTGTCCCTCCACGCCTGTAGGGCCTTGGAGCTGCCCAGCCCTGGGCTCAGTGGGCAGCTGCAGCTCAGTGCCGGGTCTGGGCACAGAGCCATATACCTCGCTGTCCGGCCCCCACCAGTCCCCAGCCTCCCTCCCAGTCTCCACTTCAGGAAAAGCCGCACTTTATGCCCCCACCTGCCTCCCGCCTCTCCATCTCCATTCCCCATTCCTGAGCCTTGAGGTTGGGGTGGGGCCCTCAGCAAGCCCTGGGGGGTTTGAGGAGACAGGTGACTCACACCCCTTTGCCGCCCCTTCCCCTTGGCGTCTAGGCAGGGAGCAGCAGAGGGGCTGGATGCCAGCACGACCCCTGGCCTGCAGTCTTTGTTCTGTTGGAGGCGGCCCGGCAAGGCGGTGGGGTCCTTGTCCTCTCAGCCACCTCCTGCTTGTTTGTGTTGGTGTTTACAAGGCGGAGTGGGGTCCTCGGCAGGCAGCTGGCCGCCTGGAGTGGGCAGCACGGTGCTGGCTGAAGCCATCCGCACTGGACTCGACTGTCCCGCGCCCCAAAGACCACACTGTGAAGTGAAACTGCCTTCGCCTCTGCGCTGTTTTATTTATTAAATACGATTTGAATCCCAGGCGCCTCTTGTGGGTGAGGTGGGGCAGGGTGCACAGGGCGACCTCACAGCAGGACACAGCATGAGGGACAGCACTGGGTGTGGAGCTGATGCCTGTGGAGGCCGGGCCGCTGTGTCCACAGCATCGGCACTTCAGGCAGAGGCCCTGGTCCTGGAGGCTGGGCAGACGGGCAGGCTGGCAGACCGGAGCGGGTCTCCCTGGGGGCGGGTCACCAGGTCTGGTGGAGCCAGACTCGGTCCCAGCAGGTCCTTGGTGCCCCTGATCCTGTGCTGTGTGGCTCTGCTTTTCACACGCTGACCAAATGCCTGGGAAAAGCCTCTGGAGGAAAGGCTCACCTTGGCTCACGGTTCCCATCCCTGGTCACCCAGTTCCGTTGCTCTGGGCTGGGCTGAGGTAGAGCAAAGCCACTCACATGTGACAACCAGGAGGCCTCGAGGGACGCAGAGCTGGGAGGAGGGGCCGGGCAGCACATGGCTTTCTGAGGCGCCCTGTGTTCCCAGCCACCCCAGCGACCCACCTCCTCATGGCTGCTCAGTTGTGAACTCAGCGGCTGCCTCTGGACACCGCTGCACGGGACTGAGCCCTGAACCCCTGGTCTCTGAGGACACTGGGTGTCTTAAGCCTTCGCCAGCTCCAGAGAAGTTCTGCAGCTCGCCTGGGTCTCACCTGGCTGCTCTCCTGACTGTTGTCTGCACCTCGGCTTCGGACAGTTGCGCAGGGTGCACCTGGTGAGGCCGCTGCTTCTGAACGCGTCGAGGCCGCGTGCATTCCACTCTTGGCTCCTCCATGGCTCCTGAGGTCCATGGCTCACTTCTCTGCGGCTCATATATTCCGGGGCGTGGATGGGTCTGGTTTATCTTGCCCCGGCTGGAGGACGTCTTGCTTGTGTCCATGTTTTTGCCAGTTAGCTGTAAACGAGCACGGGAAGGCTTCTTGTTGGACTTGAGTCTTCAACTCATTTGGGTGAACACCCAGGCACCTGCTGGCCGACAGACGTGAATGTGTTCATCGAGAGGCAGCCACAAGCTCTGAGGGCTGGTGGGAGCACTAAGTGCAAGCCCGGCCTGGGCAGCTCAGCAAGTGCTGGTCGCAAAATTTTTAAAAAGCTGAGGGTGTAGCTCAGTGCAGAAGACCTGGGTTAATCCCCAGTATTAACCAAAAAAAAAAAAAAAGTGCCACATGCTCCTGGTTTGTGTTTCTTTTTACACCCTCATCCCTTTATCCCTATCCCTGAGGCTTGCCAATTTTTTCTGGGGGATTTTGTCATTCTTTTATTTATTTCCCTCTGCCTGGCATCTTCTGGCTGAACGCTGACGTGGTTTTCTGTCTGTCTGCACTACGATGAGCCTGGTTCTTGCTCCACTCAGGTCCTGGGCCCTGCGGGTCAGCCCCTCCCTCAGGTCTGGAGGTCACCCTGTCAGCTGGTCTCCACGTGCTCGACCCGAGCCCTGGGCTGCATTCTTTCCTCTGCAGGAGCCTGGATCATTTCTGTGGAGCTATCTTGGAAGGTACTAGACCTCTGCTCCAATCCAGGCTATTCCCTGGCCAACCGGGGAGTCTTTAATTCATATATTATGTATTTTATTTTTAGGATTTGTACCTAGTTTCTTATTTCTTTGCTAAAATTCTCCGTTGTTTCATCTCCCCTCTCCCTTTCTGAGGATTGAACCCAGGGGCTTCACACTGAGCTATATCCTCAGCCCTTTTTTTCCCCATTTTTTATTTTGAGACAGGGTGACTCTCCTGCCTCAGCCTCCTAAGTAGTAGCTGGGATGACAGGCCTGGGCCACCTTGCCTGGCTCCACCTTTCATATTCTTCCACTGTTTTATAATAATTACTACAAACTGCTGCTGTTTCCCTATTTTGCATATTGCTCTTTGAGTCATTGAACTGTTGGTCTGGTTTGTATGGGTTTTCTGGCCCAGATCTCTCCTGCCCTGTGCTGGAGTGAGGCTCCGGGACTGTTCAGGGATGTGGGTGGCTTCAGGGTCCCTATGCTGTTTTGCTGCTGCCTCCTCCCAGGCCCTCCCCTTGTGGCCAGAAAGTTTCAGGCACGTGGCTGTGCCTGTGGTCCTTCCCCGTGGCAGATGTGTAAATTTTGCCCAGTGGTTCAAGTAGGACCCCTTGGGTGAGATTGCTTGGGTCTTGTGTGGGGAACTGACCAAGGCAGAAGGGTTTTCTCATTTTTTTTGGTACCAGGGATTGAACTCAGCACCTTGTGCTTTTGAGGCAGGCGGTAGCCCCACTGAGCTAAATCCCCAGCCCTGTTTTTGTTTTTTGAGACAGGGTCTCACTGTGTAGTTCAGGATGGCCTTGAGCTCACTGTGTCACCCAGGTTGGCCTTGAATTCCTGATAGTCCTGCCTCAGCCTCCCAAGTGGGAGGATTACTGGCTTGAGTGGTGGTACTGGCATTGGGCAGAGGGAGCAGCAGGAGCCAAGATGCATGGGCAGCCAGGTTGGCACCCATGTGGGGCACACTTCCCGTTGTGGGTGAGCACCAAGGCTGGGGGCCAGGCCACCGAACACCTTCTCTCTGAGCCAGACAACTTGAAAACGGGGGGCAGTGGGGATCCTCGTGGGTTTTGGGCTGCAGCAGAGTTGTGGTTCAGGGAGAGGAATGCGACTGATGAGCGTTTTTGTTGACTGTTGTGTGTTTCTGAGTGTGCGTTTGCCTGTTGGGGGTGGAGTGGAGGCTGCCTATCCCCTCTGCTGTCTGCAGTCCCTGCGGGCCCTGGGGAGGCCTCCCTGTGCCGTTCAGGCTCAGCTCTGGACCAGGTCTGGGATGGGCCCTTGGTTCCTCTGCAGCCTCCAGCTATGTTGTTCCTCTGAACAGCCTCCAGTCCTCAGTTCCCCGAGGATCTTGCTGAGAAGTGGCCCTGGTTGTTTTCATTTACTTGGGATCTCCTCTTTGTGCTGGGAATGAGGGTCTTTTGTGATCCCTGCAACTGGCTGCATGGGCGTCTTCGCTGGACAGCAGAGGTAAATGCCTGGAGGCCACCTTGGCCAGGAAGCCAGGCCTCAGCCAAGGGACCTCTCCAGGCAGCTTCCGGGGATGAAGACTTCACCTGGGGCTGGGGGGAGCACAGAGAGTTGTTTTCCTGGTTTGTAGCTCCTAGGTAGGGTGGCCAGATAAGATCCAGGATGCCCAGTTAGATTCTAATTATAAATATTTTAATATAGACATACGTCATGCAATATTTGGGACATACTTATACTAAAAAATGGGTGGCTTTCCTGCTGGGTTTCAAAGCCTGTTGGGTGTCCTACATTCCATTTGCTATATTGAGGAGCCCAAATCCTGTGTCCCTACAGGTGGATGTTGACATTGTGGATGTGAAGTACATACCCCAGGCTGGTCCCTGGGAATTCCCAGGGTGTCTGGGAAGGCCCACTCTGGGGTGGCTTTGCCTGTGTCCCAGAAAAGGCACCCCTGTGCCCACCTGCCCTGGCCCTGTGGATTAGGATGGGCAATACGGGTGGCACCTGGGCAGATGGATTAGAATTCACCAAATGGCATTAGTTGTGCACCTGCTGTGTACAGGCCCTGCCCTCCTGGTGGCAGCCTGGAGGCAGGGTGAATACACAGCCAGGTAGATGGTGCTGGGCTTGCAGGGGACCCCCATGTATGGGGACACAGTCCCACTGCCTGCATGAGGTGGGTGTGACTTCACCCAGAATGGGGGCTCCTGGACACTGGGGTTCACCCCCTCTGAGGTGGACATCCTAAATTAAGAGGTCCACTGAGGAGTGGAGTCCAGGTGGCCTGTGCGGCTCTATGGTTCCAGCTTCACGGGTGCTGGATCCAGAGTGGGAAGGCTGTGGTCCCAGCCCTCGGGGTGTGCCTGATGTCCCACGCCCCTCCTGCTAGCCTCGCTAGCCCACTGCAGGCCTTGGAACCACTGATGGGGTCCTTGACCCAAGCTGGGGCCTCCCAGTCCTAAACCTAACCTTGACAACCTGCTTCACCTCTCCGGGATCCAAGAGAGGTGAGCAGAGTAAAGGTGGAGTAGGGGTGCCTGCACTTAATTGGCACCCACTGTGTGCCAGCCCCCTCCACACAGTTTGGACATCTCTGGGCCTCAGGTCAAAATGGGGTACTAAGGGGCAGAGCTGGCGCTGAGCCCTTGGCCCCACTGCCTGGGACCACGTGGCCTGGGGAGTGGGTTCTGTCTGAAGAATTTGAGCAAGACCCCAGCCCTCTTCCGGCTCTGTTACTTGCAGTGGGTGTCCTGGCTTTCTGCCTGGTGCCTCCCAGCTGTGGGCACCCCACATAAGGGGGGCAGACAGGAGCTCCTCAAGGCATGGAGGTCCCCAGTAATAGGAACCTTGACACCAATCCTAACCATAATCCTGATTTTTGCTGCCCCCACAGGTTTTAATCCTGACCCTGCTGGGGGATTTTAAGGACTGACCCATATCTCGGCCAGCCTCACCCCAGCTCCTTCCCGGGGAGCCTCCCTGGCCTCTCCTTGCTCTGCCTGCCCCCTGCAGGGCTCCCCGCCCGGCACTCAGTAGGTGTTCAATAAGGAACTATGTTTCTGGGGCTTGGATACAAGGTCGCACCCTCTTCTTAGCAGGAAGTACTGAGCGCCCTCTGGACTTTCTGAGGGTGGCGTCCCAGGTGGGAGGAGGGGGCAGCAGCAATGCCATCCACGGATTGCATTTATGCCAGGATTGAACTCCAGCCCTAATTCCATGAGCGGTGCATGAGGATCCAGGAAGGAGCAGTGAATGAGGGGTGGAGCCGGAGCCCTCCAGTCCCCCTCCTCCCCCTCGCCCCCGCACCACAGGTGGGCGCTGCTCACTCCGGTGTTACAAGCCCCAGACTCCCCATTTGGGGATTGTTGTTGGGTCGAGGGATGATGCAGATAAGCACGGGTTAGGCAGCCGAAGGCGGCGACCTCCGGGGTCAGCCTGGGTTCGAATCCCGGTCCTACCACTCCCACACCACAGCGCGTGTGTCCCACCACAAGGTCTGATGGCCCAAAGAACCAGTGCAGTTGTCGGGACACAGCGTTTGCGAGGAGTCCTTGGCCTCGGTTTCCAGACCTAGCGGGTGCAGGACTCTTCCTCCCGACGCCGAGCATCGCAGCTTTGGGAGGGAAGCGATCCCTCTGCGGAGCCACGGCGCGTCCTGGCTCCCGAGGCAATGTGGTGTCCAGCCCGGCGAGGACGGCACGCACCCGCGGGGACTCCGTTGCCCCGGGTCTGGGGGCCGCCCTGGGTGACCTCTAGATCTCTGTCCCTAGGTGTCTGGCGGCCGCTTCCGGCTCAAAGACCCTCGTCTGCGCCACGGCCCTCCCCTCCCCTTGGACCTCTGGTCCCCACCTCTCCCCTCCCCTTCTCTCGGGCCGCCCCCGGGCCGCCCCTGCTCCACTTTGGAACCGTCCCCCCCCTTCTTCCTCTCCCCCGCCCTCGAGCCGCCCCGCCCCGCCCTCCCCAGCTCGGCCGCCCCGCCCCTGTCCCCGGCTGGAGGCCATGTGACCCCGCCGCCTGGCCGGGCCGGGCCGGGACGAGCTGGCCGGGCTGGCGGGCGGGCGGGTGCGGGGCGGCAGCTGGCGGCGGCGGCATGGAGCGGAGGTGGGTCTTCGTGCTGCTCGACGTGCTGTGTCTGCTGATCGGTGAGTGCCGGGCCCTCGGGGGCCCTGCGACCCAGCGCCAGCTCGATGCCGCCCGTCCCTCGTCCCCGACGGGTCGCGGCGCCTCGCACCGTGCAGGAAATCGCTACGAGGCGGGCGCCAGTGACTCGCCGGGGCTCTGGCTCGGGTCCGCGTCCCCAGTGGCGGCGAGCGCTGGTCCGGCCGGGGTGCAGCGCCGTCGCGCTGTCGCCCTCGGGTCGGCGGGCGGCTGAGGAGCCGGAGCTGCGGGGATCCGGCCTGGGGCGCGGGGACCAAACCTGCCGGGCCGGTTTGCGGCGAGCTCGCCCAGGCCCCTGCCCTCCCCCGGCCCAGGACAGAGGCCGAGTGTTTGCTCCCGCCCGGGTGCACAGCGGCCCGAACTCTACCTGACAGCTGGGGACTCGCGCCGGATTTGCCTCCCCCTCCGTTAAGATCGGTTCGGGTTTCCCGGCGGAGAGGCCAGGCCCACCTTCCGGTCTCAGAGGAGACCCTGCCGGGGTGACAGACAGCAGGAGGCCCCTGTTGGAAATCTGCCACCTTTGAGTGTCTTTTTCTCGGCGCACATGCTGTTTACTTCAATATTTGTGTGGCACTTACTGTATGCTGGGCGCCAAGCCACAAGCAGATAATTTACCTTTCCTTCCAAACAGCCTGGGTGGGTCCCGGGAGACTGAGCCACCTGGTGGAAGTCACACGGCACAGCACGCTGCCCGCCTTGTACCCACGGTGGTGCGCGGGGCAGTTGGGTGTCCATCCTAGAAACCGAGTTCTTGAGTACTTCGGGCAGCGAGGTTTTAGGAGGTGGTAGGAGTTGTGAGGTCGGGGCTCTGGAGGTGCCTGCCAGGTGCGGGGGGGACAGCCTTCTGGCAGAGGATGAGCCTAGCTCCTGTTCACACTGGGGCCTCTGAATTCACTCCGGAAGGTGCCAGGCAAGGCCAGTGTGGGACCACGCCCCGATCGCGAGGGAGGGCGGGGCTGACGGGAGGACCCTGACCTGCGCCCTGGTCCCCTCTGGCCTCTGCCTGGCCCCAGCTCCTAGCTCCCATGCAAGGCCACTTCTGGGCCTGTTTCCCCCCAAGCCCCAGGCCCTTCTTTCTCCTTTTTCTTCTTATCGTCCGGGTGTCTTCCCTCTGTCCTGTGCTCTACAGCCCAAAGCCTGGCTCTGTCCAGACACCCTCCTGTGGCTCTTATTCCCTGCTTATTATTCCCTTATTCCCTGCTCCTCTGCTCTGTGACCCTGGAGCAGGGCCCCGGGCTGGGTCGTTGAGGAGGCTCAGTGGATGTCACAGCCTCCTGTGCTGGCAGTGGGCTCCTACCTGCCGGCCATCCTCGCCCAGAAAGAGGGCTTGGGACTGAGCCTCCGGGTGCCGCTGCAGCATGGCTCAGGACCTGGCATGGAGGTGACTACAGGGACACAGGCTTGGCAGGCCCTCTTCTGGGTGCTGCTGAGTGCCAAGCCCCCCCCCCCCCGCCTGTGCTTCAGTCAGGTCCTGCACAGGTCTAGTCCCCAGCCCTGGACACCTTAGTTCCTGTGGTTGTACACATGTGATGGGAGAAATGAGTTGGGTGTCACACGTGTGACTGTAATTCCGCAGGGGACAGGAGATGTGAAGGATGGAGGTTTCTCCCTGTGTGACCCCAGGGGTAGGCAGTCAGGAGACAGAGAGGGTGTTGTGCAGAGCAGTCATGTGCAAAGACCCTGGGGTAGGGACCTGTGGTTCTTCTCTAGGGCTTGGGGTGTGAGCTAGGCAGAGTTCGGGGGTTGGTGGTGCTACTCCAGGGCCCCATGGTGGAATCTGGTTGATCTGCAGTGTTGGGGAAACTAGAGGGGCTTTTCAGGGTGCAGCAGCCTCCCGTTTGCCACCAGAGAAGCTCTGATGGGGGTGACACAGATGCAAGAGGCAAGACTGACCTGGGGGCGGCAGATGTTCGGGACTCAGGGCTTAGCTGGTGGGAACCAATCCTTCCCTGCCTTCTGCTGCAGCTGCTCTGCCCTTCACCATCCTGACCCTGGTGAACACCCCGTACAAGCGAGGCTTTTACTGTGGGGATGAGTCCATCAGCTACCCCTACCGCCCAGACACCATCACCCACGGGCTCATGGCCGGTGTCACCATTACGGCCACCGTCGTCCTTGTAAGGCGGGAAGGGATGGCGGACGGGGGTCTGCCCTGAGAGGAGAAGGGGGAAGACGGGGCTGGGGAAGCCGCAGCTGCTGGCCCCTCACCTATGCCCCTGGCAGGTCTCCACGGGGGAAGCCTACCTCGTCTACACGGACCGCCTCTACTCCCGCTCTGACTTCAACAACTACGTGGCCGCCGTCTACAAGGTGCTGGGGACCTTCCTGTTTGGGGCAGCTGTGAGCCAGTCGCTGACTGACCTGGCCAAGTACATGATCGGCCGCCTGCGGCCCAGCTTCCTGGCCATCTGCAACCCCGACTGGAGCCGGGTCAACTGCTCGGCTTATGTGCAGCTGGATGTGTGCAGGGGCAGCCTCACCAATGTCACTGAGGCCAGGTGGGTGCGGGGTCGCGGCTGCACTCCACTGGGGGAAGGGCTGGGGAGAGAGTGCTGCCCCCGCTCTCACCTGCTGACCCCAGCTAACTGCTGTCCCCAGGCTGTCCTTCTACTCGGGGCACTCCTCCTTCGGGATGTACTGCATGATGTTCTTGGCGGTGAGTGTCCGTAGTGGTGCTTGTTGAGAACCCGAACAGGTTACGCCCCTTCTCTGGCCTCAGTCTTGCCAGCTGTACCCCGGGGAGTGGGGTAGGGGTGGGGGGTTCACTGGTTTGTGCAGATGGACAGATGGATGGATGGAGGAACTTCTAGGCTGACACCCTGCCCACCCCAGCTTTACGTGCAGGCCCGGCTCTGCTGGAAGTGGGCGCGGCTGCTGCGGCCCACGGTCCAGTTCTTCTTGGTGACCTTCGCCTTCTATGTGGGCTACACCCGCGTGTCTGACTACAAACACCACTGGAGCGACGTCTTAGTCGGGCTCCTGCAGGGGGCGCTAGTGGCCAGCCTCACTGTGAGTTCCTGGACCACCCTGCCCTGTCCAGCAAGCCCTTCGGGATCTGATGCTTCCTGAGGCCCCATCCCAGGCTCCACCGTCCTTGGTCCTGCCTACAGTCTCCTCTCCTCCTGTCCTTGTCCTGCTGGCTGCTGTCCAGCCTGCCAGCTGACCACCCTCTTTTTCTCCATCAGGTCCGGTACATCTCAGACTTCTTCAAAGCCCGGCCCCCCCAGTCCTGCCTGGAGGAGGAGGGCGGGGAGGTGACACGCAAGCCCAGCCTGTCGCTGACCCTGGCCCTTGGCGAGGCTGAGCGCAACCACTATGGGTTCCCAGGGTCTTCCTCCTGAGCTGGGGCCACAGGCCAGCGTGCTCATGGTCCCTCCGCCTTCATGGTGGGCAGTTCGGGCTGCAGGTGGGCCCAGGTCCCTGCTGATTGCAGTGGCAAGTGGAACCCCCTGCCCCACCTTTCTGGGCCAGGATCTGCCTGGCCAGCCCTCCTGCTGCTGTGGGGTCGGGGCCTCCCGGGAATGGACTGGTGTTGCTTCTGCAGGGTACAATGTGCCTGTGGGTTTCTGTATAGTCCCAGAGCACCAGGGTCAGCCAGGGACCTGCACACAAGGGCCTGTGGGTGGTGGCCCGGAGCTCATGGAGCGTGGAAGTGAGCGAGGTCACGTCCAGCGCAGTGCAGCTACACTGAGGACCACGGTGACCCCTGTGGCCCCGACCCTCCTACTGCCGTGCAGACTCGAGCACTTAGCCACACTTCTGAAGCAGGTGCCAGGGGTTGTTGTCCCCCAGCTGTGCCAGAACTTTAAGGCTTACGTTTTCAGTGAGTGGGTGAGCCATAAACTTATTTTTTACCAAGTACATCTTTGATTTGGGTGATTGATTTTTAAGTGTCTGCTGTTTTTTTTCTGCACCTGAAAACTCTCTCTGCTTCTCTTTCTTTCCTTCTTTCTTTCTTCCTTCCATCCTTCTTTGCTTCCTTTCTCTCTCTCTGTCTCTCTCTTTCTCTCTTTCTCTTTTCTTCTTTCTTTTTGTGAGACAAGGTCTTGCTATGTACAGTAAGTCCCCAACTTAGAACGTATTCTGTTCTGGGAGTAGTTCATGAGTCGGATTCATTCATAATCTGACAAAGGGAGTCTTATACAGCGTATGTGTTAATGTTCACAACTCAGATGTTCATAAGTCAGGGACTTACTATGGTCCAGGCTGGCCTTGAACTCACTGTGTAGCTCAGGCTGGCCTCAAATTCTCAGAGATTCTCCTGCCTCAGCCTCCTAAGTGCTGGGATGACTGTTGTATGCCACTGGACCTGGCTGAACCTGCCTATTTACCCCTTGTGTGTTTGTGTGTCAGGCTTGAGCAGGCTGATGGAGCATTTGCGGACAGCCTGGGAGCCATACAGGGGGCCGAGGTGCTGGGGGAAACAGAGGAGGTGACTGCAGGGCACTGCCGTGCTGGACACTGGCCCCCTCAGCCTCGTGGACTGTGTCGGGCAGGCTCCTGAGCAGGAAACCTCAGCAGAGTCTCCCAGAAAGCAGCAGAGGGGTAACAGGGTTCTCAGAGTTGGGAGCCACACACCAGAGCCTCCCGCTCCAGCCTGCTGTGGTGGCAGGGCTGGGGGTGTAGGACAGAGTTACAAGAGCACCACACCCCAGCATTGGGGTTATTCAGACAGCACTGCCAACTGCATTTCCAGCTACAGTGAGAAACTTTTTCCTTATTTCCATAGAAATTCCTCTTTAAATGCCTTAACTGCTGCTGGGCATAGTGCACACTTGTCATCCCAGCACTCAGGAGGCTGAGGCAGGAGGATCGCTCCGAGTTCAAGGCCAGCCTGTACTACATAGGGAGACCCTATCCCAAAAAACAAAACAAAACAAAGAATGCCTAACTGCTGGCACCATGCAGCAAATACCCTCTACTATCAAGTCCCAGAAGGTGGCTTGGCCAGTCCCTGACCAAAAGTGATGAAGTGAGAAAGGACCTGTATTACACAGGGAGAAGAGAATGTCGTCTCCTTTGCTGAATAAGAATGGGACTGACAGAATCTCTGGCCAAACTGCCCAGGCTCTGGAGCCCTCTCCCGGGCCTGTAATTGAGTTACAGAAAGCCTTGCTGAGACACCTCGGGGGGATAACCCCTCCCAGTGTCTGATCGTGCCTGGTTCTGATCAGTTCCTCAGCTCCTGCGTTCCGGTGTAATACCTGACCCCCTTGCCTGTAGCCAGCACTACCCTCACCTGAGGTTCCTGCTTAGTCATTTTCTGTCACCCACTCTCCCCACCCCACCCCCACTCCTTGGCCATTCATTTTTTTTGTGGCACCACTGAGCTAAATCCCCGGCCCGGCCGTACTGTTTTTTGTTCCAGACAGGGTCTTACTGTGTAGCCCAGGCTGGCCTCGAACTTGTGGCAATCCTCCTGCCTCAGCCTCCCAGGTGCTGGGATGACAGATGTGCACCATCTCGCCTGGCCTTGGCCATAAATTCCCACTTAGGGCCCAGGCTGTATCTGGAGTTGACGAAGTCTCCGCTCCACACCTCTGCTGCAGTGGTCTCTGCACTGCACTTTCAGGAATGCACTGGCTAATGTTTTCTGTGACGCTGCACAACCAGATCGAGCAGAGGAAGCAGGAAGACAAGGTGTGGCCCTCCCCGAGGGCTGCAGGAGGAGTGTGACTCACTGACATTTTGGCTTCTGCTTTCTGGCCTCCAGAGCTGAGAATCAATTTCTTTTTCAGGCCCAGCAGTTTGCAGTCTTATATTATGATAGCCCAGGAAATGAATATACTGGTTTCTCCTCACTAAAGATGTCTTTTGTTGAGCTGGATGTGATGGCACATGCCTGTTAGGCCAGCACTTGGGAGGCTGAGGCAGGAGGATTGCTGCAAGTTTGAGGCCAGCCTCGCTATATAGAGAGAAGTTTGAAGATGAACAATGGTGGGGAAATTTGGACTTCAGTCAGGAGAAGAGGCCAAAGAAAGGGCTTGGTGTTTGGCAGGTAGGTGTGGCTTAGATAAGTGCAGGGTGTGAAGCTAGGAGGGCAGCGGGCTCAGCTGCAGAGCCCAGGGCCTTTTCTGTCTGCAGATCCGAGGCCACAGGCCAGGCAGCTCCTCTGAGGCCCCAGACATCTGGGGCGTCTGCCCCTCCTTTCTGCACCTCCTGCTCCACTTAATCCTGTTTCTGCTGGGTGGGCAAAGGGCTCAGAAAGCGGGGGGCGGGGGGCCTCCACCGCTACCTCTCAGCCTGCAGGAATGGCCCCTCTGCCCTTCCGGGGCAGGGCTCAGTCTTGACACAGGGCATTTGGATTTTAGTAAGACATTTGCCATCACTTTATTTTATTTTATTTTATGTTTTTGGTACCGGGGATCGAACTCAGGTCCTTCCATTTGCCAGGCAGGTGGCGGAACCACTGAGCTAAATCCCTGGCCTGCCATCACTTTAATTTGTAATCTTTTTGAAAGAGGAAGAGCTGAGCATGGTGGTTCATACCTGAAATCCCAGCACTCAGGAGGCTGAGGCAGGAGGATCCAGTGAATTTGAGGCCAGCCTGGGCTACATAGTGAGTTCAAGGCCCATGAGAACTACATAGCGAGACTGCATTTTATTGTTTGCCCATAGAATGAGGATCTAGGATTTCCGTGGAGGAAGAGGGTACATTCCTTCCCTGACCGACACCCCCAAGTGGACTCACACTCATACATGCACACGAAGTGCATGTACATTCACACAGCGCTCCCACACCACAGATGCACATAGCTGTGACACACATGTACACCCCTCACCAATGTGCACAGATGCACACATCCCCATCTGACCACCTCGGCGGCCACAGAGATTGGAAGAAACCAGGAAAGGAGTCAGGAAGAGCCAAGGGAGGGGCCTGGTGACAGAGGGGACAGAGAAGCATCTGGCTTACAGGGAGACCATGGAATCCAATCCTTCCAGAACCCAGCGCTGCCTCATGTCCTAGATTTCTCTCTTTGGGCCTGGAAACTGTTTTTATTTTTTATTTTTCTGGAGACAAGGTCTTGCTGTGTAGTTCAGGGTGGCTTTGAACTTACTGGGTAGCCCAGGTTGGCGAACTCACAGTGATCCTCCTGCCTCCGCCTCCTGAGTGCTGGGATGACTGGGAAGTGCTACCATTCCCCAGTGAAATTTGTATTCGTATGGAGAAAAAAATGTGTTAGTACAGAGGCCAAAAACTGAGGACATCTGTATGGGAGCCGTGAGTGACATCCCCCATGCATGCACGGAACCTTCCCCTCTCTTCCTGCCTGTCTCTGTCTTGGAAGGGCGCCTTTGTCCAGTGGTTATTTCTGGCCTCTAAGCTTTTGGGGAGGAAGTATCTTTCTCTGCAGACCCCTCAGCCTGGATGTGGAGGTCTGCTGCACATTTGTCCTGTGCCTACTGGGATGTGGTTTTATTGCAAGTGACTTTCCATCCCTTCCTGCGAAGAGAGAGACTAAGCTGACCCAAGTTCTCTGCGGCCCAGACTGTGAGGCCACTCTTTTGTGTGCAGCCCCACCCTGCCCGACACGGGCCTCTCCCTGCATGTGTCTCCAGCTCCATTCTGGATGGAGAAACTGGAAATTTATGACTCATTGTTACCTTTGCTTTATTGCCCAAGGAAATGGCCAGCCGGGTGTGGTGGCGCAAGCCTTCATTCCATCATTCAGGAGGCTGAGGCAAGAGGCTTACTTTGAGTTCGAGGCCAGCCTGGACTACATAGCAAGACCCTGTCTCAAAAAAACAAAAAAGAAAATGGCCAATTCCAGGTGCAAACTATGGCGCAGTCTGCACTGAGCGCATCTCACCCTTCCTTGCAACCCCTCCACAGGTGCCCGAATCCTGTGCCATGGCAGGGTCTCTGGTGCTGTTCCACCCTCAGGGCCCTGCCTATTCCCCTGGGCAGCTCCCAGGTACCTCGGGCCACGAGTATGATGTAGGAGTTTAGGGCTGCTGCAAACTGAACAACTGAGTGGAATATGTGAAAGGTCACAAAAACCCATGGCTAACAGGTTGAGCAAGATGTTTCCCAAAAAGAGAGAACATCCACACAACACAGGACCCACAAGGACTCCACAACTACTGTTCACTGAGGACCAATCAGAAAAGTGCTATTTTCAGTCCTTCATTTGCATCTGGCATTGTTTACAGGACCAATCAGAGATGATCTTCTCAACTTCATTTGCATCTGGCCCGTAGCCTTGGAAATCTTTCCCTGAGGGGGTTTAAAGCTGGCATGAGGCCAAGTGAGTTTTTGACCGGACAAATGTCCCAAAGCCTTATTTGCAAGATAGGGAAGCCAACTTGGGCATTTTGGATACAATAGAACCCTTTCCCTGTCCACGGACTGCTGTGAGCCTTCCCGCCTGCCTGGTCTCACCCTATAGAGCACACCTTTCCACCTTCAGTAAATATTCCCCCTTGATGCTTTTGCTGTGTGTCTTGGCCAATTCTTTGTTTGGGACACTGAGAACCTGGAGAGAAGCCCCATGGGACCCTCCATCTGGTAACAAGCGGACCTTGCTTCCCCCTTTTTTATTTTTTTGGGACAGGATCTCACTATGTAGCTCAGGCTGGCTTTGAACTCGTGGTGATCCTCCTGCCTCAGCCTCCAGTGTGCTGGAGGACGGGCATACGCTGCCACGCCCAGCTGGTCTAGTGTCTTTGTGAAAGGGTTGGAAAATGAGCTTTCAGAAGCTGAGAGTCCCACAGTTCTCAGAGGGTGCCTGTGTACCCAAGAGGCCCCTAATTGTTCATGAGCAGGGAAGCCCAGTTCAGATGTTTCACATGTGTTGTCTCTGCCTATTTTTTAGGGTTAGGGTGAGGGTTAGGGCTAGGTTAGTGTCTTAGTTACTTT